TACTGCTCTGTGGGCACACACTGCACTCAGCAGAAGCTGTTCTGCCAGCCCGAGGGGGGCTGAACTGTGTCCCAGCCATGCCCTGCAGAGCCTTTTCACCCTGTATTCAGCCCCCAGAGCTTTGTTCTGAGCATTCTGCGTAGCAGGGAGTGGTGTCCTCTTAATTGTGTGAGCAAAGCTCGGCACTGCATCCCCCTTTGGAGGTACCTCCCGAGGTAAGGGGGAAGTGGGGTAAATCAACATCTTCTAGTGACGGTGGTGGCCGAAGCTGATGCATATTTTCTTTCTTTTGCAGGGTCATCCTGGACAGAAGGGAGAGACGGTAAAAATATACATGTTTGTCTGCAGGTGATGGGTGGGTTTGAAATGATGTTGCCTCTCAGCTGGAAACAAGCTCATAGGCAGGGTAGCAATCTTCGTTCAGCTGATGCACGAGCTGCATCCCTAATTCTGTAACTTCATAATAGCAGTGCTGGGATGCACAGCTGTAATTTTTACATTATGGCTATCAGATTTATCATGTCACAACAGCAACTCTCTAGTTACGCCTGGGATGTGTTTTCCTTGCACTTAGCAATTATGTTCTTTAAATATATTCTGGGAGCTGACATTTTCTGTGGTTGGCCTCATAGCAAAAGTAAAAGTTGATGGAAAGATTTCTCAAAACCCATCTGGCAGCTTTCAACTTATCTAACAACAACCAAAACCCCCATATTTTTTGTATTAAATGTGTTCCCCCCCCCCCCGAAGCTCTGTTTCATATGTGCATCATTCTTAAAATGCATTTGGTTGAAAATGATAAACTTAGGCCGCACTTGATGGAAGCCCAAATGCGGTCTTGTTCCTCTTGACATCTCTGATGATGAAATCCCAAACATGAGTATGCCGAGCTAGCAGCTCTGTAGTCACCTTCGCTCACTGGAGTGCTGAATGTTTTCTTCTGCTAATTCTGTTTTTTGAGCCCGAGTGTCAGTACAACCCTCTGGCAAGCACATGTTGAAGATCCCTGCTCCCGACTCCCATTGTGCAATCCTAGCTCAGGCTTCAGTCCTGGCTGCTTCTGGTTCCATCCCAGTGCGTCGGCCGAGGAGCCGCACTGTCAACTGGGGTCCTGGGAACAATAAGGGTGTGTTTTCCTGATGATTTTTCCCCTCTCCTTTTAATAATTCCCCCCTGCAGTGCAGCCAGAACATGTGTGCATTTTTACTCCTCCAGAGTAACAAAGTGAGCCCAGACTTCTTTTGGGAGTTTTCTCCACAATTGTTTTTAAAAGCTGAGTTTTTCACCTACTTCATACACTGAGAGCTGTTGTCTTCTTGTCACTGTAAATGGGAAACCATCTCATGCTCACATATGTATTTCTTTAAAGGGTGCTGCAGGTCCCAGGGGACAACCTGTAAGTATCCAAGTATCCCATCTCATCCCTATCCCATGTCTCCCCCTAATCCCTCTCCCTTGGCATTCACTGAACTCCTTAATTTACTGAGGCCTATTTTGTCACTTTTCTTTTATAGGGACCCCCAGGACAAAAAGGAGAAAAGGTAAATTCAATGGGAGATGTGTTAAGAATTAAATGTAAAGAGCGGAAGGGACTCAGTGGACTTGGTGCTGCTCGGCCTGACTTTGAGTGGCTGAGGAGTACAGCAAGAGCAGAGGGCTCAGGGGATAGGTGACAGGAGGCAGGCTGCTTGTCGGGTGCAAATTGGTATAACTGCACTGAATTTGATATAGTCACAATGATTTACACCTTCTGGATCTGACCCCGTGTGCCTATTTCAGTCCCCTCTGTTTGTGGTTTAAACTCTTTCCTTTTAATCCTGTTCTTTCACAGGGTCAGTGTGCAGAGTACCCGCACAGGGTAAGTCATTAGTGTTATTATCCTCTGTCCCGTGCCTTCCTGCATGTTAATCCTCCCTCGTTTGAATGGCTTTTTGTTGTAAGTAGAGATCGTCTCATTAACAAGATGCGTCATCTGGGCCCCGAGGGCAGCGCTCGGCTGATTGATGTGTTTCACAGAAAAGCAGCAGATAAGGTTTTCCAGGAGGGATGTTGGTTCTCCGGTCTGTTCCTGCCCACCGGGGCTGACCCCTAGATATCTGCTGTCATTGCTGCTTCCTGGAGATTTGTGCTGGAGAAGGGAAGGTCTGTGTCCTCACCCCAAAACCCAGTGAAACCTGAGGTTTCTGGAGAAGTAGGGGTCACTCACATCTTGTGCTGCTGCACCAGCTCCGTGCTGCTTCCACAGCCTCTGTGGTGGTTGTGTTCTGCCTCTCCTGTGGCCAGGAGCAGTGTGGGGTTTGCAGACCTGGGAGAAACTATCATCATCCCTTCATTTTTTCTTCTCCCTCATGGTGGTTTCACCCCTGCATAGAGGCAAGAGGCTGTGCTCCCTGACCCACCCACAGTGCTCTGGCTGGTCCCTGTGCCGGTCCCCAAGCCTGGTGGACTTTCTGCCTGCAAGGAAGAGGCTGAGAGGGAGGGTTGATGCCAGCAACCATTTAATGAAAGCCAGGATGTTGCCCCACTTGCCTGGCCTGGCCGGCATCCACAGCCAAGAGCAGAGAGAGTACATCATAGGGTTTGAGGGGATTTAACCAGTTCTAAAAACAACCAGAGTGCTGAAAATCCACTGGAAATGCATTGGAACGACATCATATGAAGTGGCTGGAATTTGTAATCTGGGTGTACAGGGAGACAGGCTTAAGAGCTTTCTGTTTATTTTTGACGGGCCTCTGGATAATTAGCTGGGCTCTGGTCCCTGGCCCCGAGGGAGCAGGGCTGGGATGCTCGGAGCAGCAGAGCCAGTGGAGAGAGAGCTTGGCTGGCAGCAAGGGAGAAGGGAGCTGTGGGTATGTGCCAGTCCCCGTGCAATAACAGCCGGTCAGCTGTGTTTATTTAGCGAGCGGGCTCACGAGATTGTTATGTTAAAAAGAAGCTAACAACAGTGTTCACCGAGCATCGTCCTGGGTCGTGTTACAGCCCTTGGCTCCCACCGTCCCCAGCGCTCAAGGTGAAAAGCAGTGGCAGACCCAAAGCAATACTGGGAAGGGAGATGCAGCTGCTGCATCCCTGGAAGTAGCCTAGGCTCGGGCTTGGGGGGAAAGGCACGCTGGTTTGGTGGGCTGGGATTGTAGGGTGACACGCTGCAGGGCTGTGACAGCGGGAAAGGGACGGGTGCAAAGCTTCACATCTTAGCAGTGTTTCCTTGGCTCTCATGGAGGTACTTTTGGTTGCATGAGGCAGCAAGTTCAACATTTTCAAAAGCCTATGAGTTGTTCCAAGGCAGAGACATGCTCGCGGGAAAGGTGACTGTCCTCAGATCAACTCAAGAATGGGCTGTGCTGAAGGCTCTGGTCACAGATTGTGCAAGCTCAGGGAGCCAGAGGCACAGACCAGTCAACAGAGGTGCAGTTCTCTTTCTTCCTCCCTGAATGAAAATTAGGATGTTGTAAAAATGCTACACAGCTGACTGAATTGCAATTTATTCTTGCTTTTCTGTTTGACAAGGTTCTTTGTCAGATGTTCTGGGTGAGGAAATGAAAACCAGCATCCTGAAAAACCAGGGATGTTGTTTCAGTTTTGTTTCATCTTTGTTTTTGTAGGAAGGAAATACAAAGTCAGGCTATATGCCTTGGCTCTTGTAGTTTCCTATTTTTTTTTTTCTGTATAAGTCTGTATGGCCTGCACTGCTGTGAGGGATGAGCCCAGGCATTGGGGCTACACATGTGGGGTGAGATGACCACTTGAGCTCGAAGTGCTGCTTGGGGGAAGGGGGGACGAGCTGTGCTCCGTCTGCTCTCAGAAATGCCGTGTGTGTCTAACTGACCCCGTTTGTCTCACGTGTCTTCACTGTTCCCCAGGAATACCTAAGTACCACCCTTGCAGCCCTGCGCTCTAACCAGATCCTTACGCTGAAGGTTTGTGGGTAATAGTCTGATGTGACCCAGTTCTGAAGCAAAGGCATGAGGATGTGACTCCAATATTGCACATTGCCTTCTGAAAAAACTTCCCATTGGGACACAGAGGAGACAGGGCAGGAGCTGGGTGGGAGAGCCTTCAGATTTCTTCTCTAAACTCTCCCACTTGCACCTGAATCCATTGCTGGGTCTTGTCTCGCCTCTGTTTTTTTTTCTCCTTATCCTTTTCAGCATCCTCCTTCTGCTTCTCTGTAAGCTGCATAATATTTCAGATACCCTTCAGAGCTTGAGGAGCCAGTCAAAGCCAGCTCAGCTGGCTCTCCTGAGCTATGGGGCCTCCTGCACTGTCTTTTAGAAAGGGATAGAATTGCCTTTGGATAAAATCAGCCCAGCTGAGTTTCCAGCAGCACTGCTTCTGGAGCGATAGCTTGTGGCTGTCTGGATCAAAGCATTCAAACACAACCACTTGATCACAATGCTGCAATATTGGGTTGCCTCTTCTCTTTGCAACAGGACTGGATCCTTGCTTTCACTGTGCACAAGAAGGACAATGTTCGATGGGAATAAAGTGCACTGCTTGGAAGTGTACGGTGACTGTGGTGGGAGACCCGTGGGCACACCTCTGGGATCTGAGCGCACGGCTCACACGGGGAATGGCACACGCGGGCACAATTTTGTGTCTGAGCACAGAAAGCCTCTCCCTGTGTAAATCAAGAGCAGCTTCAATGGAAAACTGATAGCAACAGGAAAGTGGATCAGGCCAGAGGAGCATTCCTGGGCCTGGAGCCGGCACAGTGGGTGCCAGGCTGACAGCAGCGTGCATGCAAGTGGAAACTGGATACAGCAGAAGGATGAACAAATGCTCCTGAGCTTTAGTGCATTTGATTTCTGTGTGTCCGGGTCAGCTTTGTACCCTAAGGCAGCATTCCTGGCTATAAGCAGTCAGAGGGTGATGTTACTGTTGAGCAGAAAAAGCAAAGCACCGGCTACCAAGGCAATGTCCTTCTGCAGAAAACTGCCATTTGGATAGTTGCCCCAAATCTGATGATGAGAAATTAAGAGAAACAGTCTCATCACTGCAGATCTTAGCAGAGCCAGTGGGGGTATGTCTTGCAGTGAACAGTGCCTAAGGATATCAGTGGAGCTGAGTTAAAAACCCCCTGGGTAAGTTCTGTTTCTGAGCAGAGGAAGCTGTAAAAGCTCTGTACAGTGGGAGCATCGAGATGGTGAGTGGCCACCCTGCACCTGCCAGGCTGGCACTGCCAGTCCCTCTGTGAGCAGCGCGGGGAGCTCAGAGGTCTGCCCGCAGGTCCCTGTGCTGTGCTCACGCTGGGCTTTATTTTCATGGCAATCTCTCTGTTCCCCTCTTCTCTGTTCTCTCCCCTGGCTACTCTCTGACTCTCGGTGCCCTAATGGCCTCCTTTGCCCTGTGACCTTCTGGTTTGATCTTCTTCAGCTGTTGCCTCTCCTCAATTCAGTGCGGCTGGCTCCACCTCCGGTCATAAAGAGACGCACTTTCCAGGTAGACTTCTCCTCCTCATTGCCTGTTTCTAAGCTTACCCTGATGCTTGCCATTAATCAGCTTGCTACCTGTCTTTCTTCCCCTACAGAGGGGTTTCCAAGAGTTTCAGGCAGAGCTGAGGGACTTTCTTTGAAGCAGAGGAAATCTTTGATGTGATAATGTTGCTAAAAAGAAATGCAGTGAAGCCAGTTTTTTAAACTGAAAGAAATGGGCCATGAAACTGTTCTTAGGGCTGTCGACAAGCAGCCTCCTCCCTAAAGGAGTCAGTTCCTGCATATTCAATCTCCAGAAGAGGTTAGAAACCTCTAGCTGAAATGCAGCTAATGTCTGTGAAATTTAACTGAGATGAATGAATAGGCAAACGCTTCTTCTGAGGACTAGTCTAGTCTGAGGCACTTGGGAAATGTGTTTAAATAAGCTCTTAGAATGGTTTCATTAAATTGCATTAAATCTTTGTGTAAACACATTTATTTTTGTTTCCAGGACCATAATTCATGTTTAGTTTATTTTGGGAATTAATTCATAAAGCGAATTACGGACATATGAATAGTGAATAAGAGTGTCCACAGTCAGAGTTCATGCGGCTTTTAATGAGCCCACTTTAAGCTCCCTCATTCCATCAATTGGGATTAACTCTCCGTGTGGACAAACCGCTGTACTTACCCCGTGAAGTGCGCTGGGCACTCTCTATTAAGTGGCTGGGTTTTGTCACCCTGCTGCCTGTCTAGACAGTTGGATGCTAGCAGGGAACTGTAGGATGCAATTAGAGACCTTTACCATGAGGTGCCTTGTCCTTGCCCAGCACTGGACAAATCTTGACCTGACCAGTTGAGCCTGTGCTTTCAGTTCAGTTTCTATCGATTCAGCATTTGCACCACACAGAGCCCCATGGCTTGCACTGTTTGCCCTTTAAAGTGACAGTCTGGAGAGCCAGGCCAAGGACTGACCTCTTGGGAAGGCTTTGAAAGCTGAAGTTCCTCTCCAGGATGAAGTGGGAAACTTGAATAGCTGCCCTACGTCCTGTCGTCAGCCAGGGCTGCAAATTCCCTCTGTCCGCAGAGGCTTTAACTTCACCGGAGAGTTTTGCCATGATCTGTTTTGCTGTTGCTGTTTCGTTCTCTAAGTGCAACAGAGTGTAATCTGCTCCTACAGGTCTGCCAGCACCAGGCAATTCCAGGAGCCCAGCGTATGAATACTAAGAAAAAAAGTGAAGCTGCAAAATGAATGTAGTGCCAGCACCTGGAAGAGAGGAAAACCATGCTGCTGCCTCTGAGCACATCAGCAGGAGTGCTCTGCCCAAGGGCTGGGGCTTAGCCGAGAGAGGGGCTGAGCAGGGTCCTGTGTGAGGAGGCTGAGCAAGAATTGCAGTGCGGGGGCACAGTCAGGGTGGCTGCCTGGCGTTTAAAAGAACTGAAAAGTAGCTACAGTCAATGGCTAAAAATATAGAATGAGAACTGATGAAAATGACACCTGATCTCCCACTTACTGTATCCACTTACTGTCTGGTTACCTCTGTGGGGGTCCTTTTGTGCTGAACACATTAATAAGACTATAATGATGTGGTAATAATGCTTTGTGTGTTTAGGGATCTGCATGGACTGACACTCTCCTCAACAAAACACGCTCTAAGGCAGCAAAGCAAAGGTGATGTGAATGGGAGTTTGGGTGAGCTCTTCCAGCTGCTCCCCATGCTGGGGCAGGGCTGCTGCTGTTCCCAGCACCTTGTCCCCTGCCGGCACCCCTTCCCAGCACTGTGCTGCATTTTAGTGCCCTAAATCTGGAGCATGGACTGGGCTGGCAGAGAGCAGCTGAGGTGGGAACAGGAGAGAGAGCCAAAGTGAGATGGGCAAAAAGCCCCCTTTGCCTTCCCATGGTGCACCCATGCTGGGGGTGCTGTAAGATGGAGTGGGAGGGAAGTCTCTGAAGTTGGAATGAGAGGTCAAGGCATGAGGAAATCTAGGAATATACTCCAGCGTCCTCCCAACATCTTCATTAGATCCAAATTACCTTCCACATTTAAAAGCTATGAGACCATTTACAGGACAGTTGAATAGTACTGAGTGTGGAGGATAGTGAAGCTTAGGAAAGATCCTGTGTTCCCTTGCATGGGCCATAGGATACACTTAAAAAATGGGGGAAAGTGAGGATGCCCCTCCTGCCTGGCCCAGCAGGCTTCCCAGTGTGGGCTGTGGGTCCAGTGGTGAGGAGCAGGAGAAGGGCTGTGGCTCTACACATGACTGAGCTTCTTGTGAGCCTGGCCCACGTGTTGGAAATTTTCTTTTAAATAAAGCTCATGGAAGAATTTGCATGAGCAAATTTGCAACTTATTACTTTCATCTATCATTCTAAATAAAGCAAACATCCCTGTATCTGCATGTTTTACTAAAGGCAGCCAGGATAAACAGCACGCTTGGTAGGAACACATGCAGGGGACAGATTTCATGCGTCCTCCTGCAGTGTATAAGGCTGTAGAGAGGATAAATGCAGTGGAGACCCAACTGCACACCTAGTGATTTTTAACTGAGAAACAGCCATGTTTGATTTCTGGCTTCCCATGGATCCACCAAGTAGCATTTTTCTAATTTAAATTGGATCACTAACAGTGATCACTGTCATGATACTTTATCCAGGGAGGGGAGCCTGTGAGACGAACAGCGCAGCGCGGGTGCCACGGTGCCTCAGGATCTCGCTGGATTCATCAATTATGGATCAGCAGTCTGGTATTCAAACGTGGCGCTTCCAACCCACTGTCTCCTCAGCGCCGCTGGGTCCCACGTCCAGGTCCTTGGGGCCAGATGACATTGCTGAGGCATGAGCCACAGCCCCCGAACGGCTACTGAGGGCCTGGGGAGGAACCGGCTCAAACGGCCCCGTGGCAGAGAGCTTAAAATGGCAGGTGGCTCGGCACGCACTGCCTTGTTAAATCTTAGAAAAACAGGCTATGCCTGGTGCACATGGGCCTGCTTTGGGTGGGCTCCAGAAATGCCATGATGATCGTGTTATTTTCTTTTGGGTTTGTGGCATTTCTACTTTTGGTCCTTGGCAAAACAGAGGGAGTGTTGTCCAACAAATATAGCATGGGGGAAAAAAATAAGCTGAGGTAAGACACTGCGGGTTTGCCTGGAAGTGCCAGTGTGGTCATGGGAGGCTTTGCTTCACATGTGACTGTCAAGTGCTTTGGAAAGCCTCCTCAGAGGCTCAAGAGACGTCGGTCTTTTGCATAAATATTGTACTTGACCGACTCAATGAAGAAAAAGGTCTCTTTGGAATGCTCTGTCATCTATAGATCCCTTTAGAAGAGAGGTCTGATCAGGCAGCTTCAGATGTCTTTGCAAACCGTAGGGTGCTGGCTCCTGCCACCCAGGCAGCCCAGCCATCCTCAGCAGGGCTCTCCATCACTCTTGGAAACTTCTCCTGGCACTAACCTGTGACTTGCTTCTACCTCATCTGCTTCAGCCAGGCTGGTCTGCCTTGAGCCCTTGGGGTGGTGGTGTGAAGGGTTTGCTCTGCCAGCTGATAACCTCTTGCTTTACAAACCACAGGGTGAACAAGGACAAGCAGGGATTCAAGGTCCCCCGGGGCCCCCTGGACCACCAGGGCCCACTGGACCGGCTGGACCTGAAGGAACCCCAGGACGTCCTGGGCCAGTTGGACCCCCTGTAAGTCCAATTACTGAAAAACAAATTCTTCTGCTTCCCCTTCCCCTGGGGCACAGGCAATTTCCTCTGGCCTCTCTTGCCTTTGCTGAAGCTGAGATAGTCATGGACAGGAGACTTGCAGAGGATGTGGATGTGTGGAGCGGATGAAGTTCCCAGGAAGGAGGGGAGCGGGAGGGAAGGCAGAGGTGTGCACAGGGCACTGCTGCTATCTGGGCACACAATGGGTGACACCAGGCTCATTTCCTCCTTCTCAGACCCTGCAGAGGGCCCCGGAGAGGAAGTAACACGAAGGGTGTAATTGTTGTGCTCAGAACAGAAACCTGACTGATAAGAATCCCTGCCACCCCTTTGAAATCCTGTCCCTGCTCTAGCAAGCAGCCAAGGAGGGAGAGGACAGAAGCACCATTTATAAAGTCATACCATTGCTAAATGGCAGGGGACAGGGCAGAAAACCCTGCTAATGTACCTCTCTCTTGTAACAGGGCAGAGCGGGAGAACCTGGGAAGCCTGGCAGAGACGGAAAGGTGGGTACCAGGAACCAGCTCCGTTCCTGGGAGCTGCAGGGGGAGACATGGCACACTGGCTCTGCAGCCTCTGCGGAATGAAAGGAGTTTCCATCTCAAAGAGTTTTCAAGGCCTGCTAGCAGGACAAGCAGGTCTTTTCCCCAGAGGCAAAAGCACCTCTCCATACGTAGTACTGGAGTCAGGGATCCTGTAAGCATCCTATTTCTCTCTGAGCTCTGAGGAGCCAAGGATAGGATGGCTGAACACTTGAATTGCCATAAGCAGGCAACATCAAGGGTGGTGTAGGCATCAGAGCATATATAGAGTAGTTTCCCCCTTCTGTCTGCTCACATACAGCTCTGCCACGGATATTTTGTTTATTTATATTTACATACACACATATCTGGTATGTTTCATGGTTCATATCAGGGAAATTGCTTGGTTATTTCTCATTTAAAGACATGAATGGTTTGTTTGTTAATATATTCTCTCTATTTAGCTTGTCAGAAGAAGCTGCAAATGCCTGATTTACTCCAGAGCTGCACAGTGGGTACAAATTTCCCAGACAAGCCAGAGAAGCAGAAAAGGTTCTAGAGCGTAATGCATAAGGCAAAGCAGCTCTTTGGTTTTCAGATTCAGCTAGATCAAACCTGGGGAGATGGAGCACTACAGACATGGATTTATTTGAGTGTATGGGTTAAGACAGTATTCATCTACATGAAGAATAGATTGGGGGTGTTTGAGCTCACCAGCATAAATCATCTCTGTAAATCATCTCATTTCAAACCAAAGCAGCCAGCGTCTCCCATCACCCTGCAGTCCATGTAATGTCTACGTTTGCCAACCCCAGTGTCTGTTTTGATTTTATCCACAGGGCTTACCTGGGCCTCCTGGACCAAAGGTGAGACATCTCACCTCATTTAGAGGTGTAGCACGGTGATAAACAGGGATGGATACTCCTGTGAGGACAGATGTGTACATTTTAACGGATGGAGGAGGGGAAAGGAGGTTACATCAAATCGCTGAGAAAGATTTCTGACCCAGCTCAGCATTGCCTTTGGGGCCCCAGCCCGTGTGCTGATTCATGGGTTTTGTCCAGGCGACACGTCTGAGTTGCATCTTGACTGAGCCAGGCACGCCTCATCAGCCCCTCTTGCAAAATTGTTTGCCACACACAGCTTTATTGGCTTCTTCCATTCTCAAAGCATTTCCCAGCGCTTCAGGAATGGATTTTGCAATGCTATTGTTAACTCCGCCACGGGTTCCCATTTATTCACTTGCCAAAGTGCGAGGAGGGGGGTGGTTGTTGTTGTTTTTCAGCTGCAGCCACCCACCCTAATTAGTTTTTATCTGAGATATGTAGCCAGGGTGAGGAGATGGGAACCATGGAGCTGGGGCACAGAGCTGGCACGTGTTATCCGGCTGCCAGGGCTTACTGTGCCTTTCCTGCCAGGACTCAGCCCAGTGCAAGTAATGGTGACCCGTGGGTTTGAAGGGTCAGGAGCTCAGTGGAGTTGCTCTGAGCAAAAGAGGAATTTCTCCCCCTGGAATGCCCTCCCATCCCAGTAATAAGTCAGGGAAAAGAGCAGAGATTTGTCCTTCTCAGGCCTCACTTTCTTTTGTCTTTTTGCCTTTTGCAGGGAGAGGCTGGGATTCAGGGATACCCTGGCAGAAAGGTAAGAAGGGGATCTCCAGTGCTGTTAAATGAATTAAGTGCACTGATGCCCTGTGGAATCATGGCTGCAAATCAGTGGACTACTCTGGAGCCCTCTGTGGAGCTCTGCTCCCACTGGACATGGGGCTCTGGCAGGCCCACAGATCTCTTCCTGTCACCCACATCAGGAGAGCCTGGGCCCAGAGGTGTCTTTAACTCTCCAGCAGCTATGAAACAGACTCCCCGTGTGTGTGCCCCTCTACACCCACTTCCAGGCTGAAATGCAGGTCTTGTTTATCCAGACCTGAACAGGAGGCTGGAAAGGGCCAAATCCCTGGCCGTGTACTGCTCTCTGGAATACAGGAAAGAGTCCTTAACCTCCTCCAGGTTAAGAGGCAGAAGCTGGCAATGTCCGAATGCCTTCAGCAGCAGCTGATCAGCAGCAGGGTTGTCAAGGCCGGAGGGTGTAATGAAGAGACAGAAAGAGAGACAGGGGAAAGACACAAGGAAGATCAAAGGGGAGAGAGAGAATAAAGAGATTTTAGCTGGAGAAGGGGAAGGTGAATGTTCCCAGCAGGCAGGAGTCCTGTGTCCCCTGTTATCTCCACCTTGCTTTATGGGTGCTCTGCGAGTAAAATGGCAAGACCTGAGAGCTTTTTAATTAGATCTGTATAAACTGAGAAGTTTTTGTTATGTCAGGAAGTGGAAATTATAGCCCCTGCAGACCACAGCCCACTTCTGCAGACAGACACAATTTATTGCCCCTTCTCCCGGTGAACTGTTGGATTTTCCATTAGGAGCCCATCCTGTTCTGTGTGCGCTGGGCGGGCGGTCCCGGCAGCGACCTCACAGCGAGGGCCTCTGCTACCAGCTCCTCTTACACAAAACCACTTGTCTGGCTAATTTACTTCCGAGCAAAGAGCCTGCACTGATCTTGGAGGAATGAGCCCAAGGTTGTGACCTTTCTCTGGGAAAGGTGGAAGGAATAGATGAAAGTAGGGGAGAAAATCCTAAGAAAAGGGAAAAGAAAGCAAAATGTAGGGGAAAATTGTTAACTCAGATATAATACAGGATATGGGACCACTCCCTTCCCGACATTTCACACACATCTTTTGTGATGCAGAATGGCGCTCCTCTCCTAGAGAGACTCAGGTGGTAGGTTGGTGTGTGGGAGGCACCTCAGTGTGGGACATCCCTCTCACACCTCTGCTGATCTTCCTGGCAACCCACAGTTCCTTTTCTTGCTGCTGTGTTTGCTCCTTCCTCCATTTTCTTCTCTTCCTCAGGGTGAGGTGGGCGAGTCAGGCCTGCCCGGTGCCCGTGGCCTCCCTGGAGCCTCTGGCCCCAAGGTAACCCTTAAACTCAAGTCAGTGGGGGCATCTCCCAAGGGCAGATAACTGGCCCACAAGGCTAGAGACACACTAAAGGATGTCAAAGGCTGGGGACTGGAGGCAGTTCTCTAGAGCCCGTAATGAGCCATGTAACCAGGAACACTTGCTCCTGAGTGGGGACCCTGGGCAATTGTTGGCCAAGGTGATTTCATGCTATCTGAACCAGTACCTGCACAGGGCTTCATTATAGAATAAAACTGACCCAGCCTTTAGAGGCTTTTGCACCAGGGTTGAGGGAATGGGCCATGAAACATTTTGACGGTTTCTACACCCAAATCATGTGGAAGAACATTAGTGTGGGTGACCTCCAGCATCTACTCCAGAAACCTAAACTGCCTTGCATTCCCTGGGAGGGGTGGGCTGCAGCCAGTGCTTGGGCTGGGACCGTGTTGCTGTCAGGAGAACCAGAGGCCTGGGGTTGCATTATCACACCCCTCTTTTGGCTGCTTTCTCTCTGTCCCTCACTGTTATGATTGCTTGCACAATTACTCTTTATGTTCACTGTCCCTCTCTCTGTTCCCCCCCCTTCTCTCTCCTTTGCTGGGCAGGGTGAAAAAGGGGACGCTGGCATAAAGGTAGGCATGAGGAATATGTTTCTCTAAGGTGCGGTAGATCACCTGGGAGATAGATACTGCTCCTTGGGCTGATGGATTGCAAGGGGAAGTTGGGTTCGAGGCAGCTCTGTGGGGTATTTAATGGAGTGCACATCTGTGCTCTGATTAACCACAGACAGGCACTCTGAGCTCAGGCAATAAAAGCAGCCTTTATCCGTTCGGTGGAATTCGATTCTTACCAAAGGCATTTCTCTGACTATGAAGCTTGCTAGTGATTTGTTACATCTCTCTATTTGATGGGCTAGGTTGGGGTTTCCTCATAAAATCTGGTTAGCTGACGCATCAAATCCGCTCAAACTCTGCAACTCAGGCTGAGGTTTGGCACCAGGCATTTCTGTCTGTTTCTGGACACTTTTTACGGGCTCATATGGTCTGTGCCCAGATGTTATCTATTTGACTGAAATTTACTGTACCCATATATTTAAAGTATATTACTCAATGTAGGCTGTGCTTAAAACATTACAACATTGGCTAGTGTTCATGGCAGTCAGAGCACACTGTGTCATTCCATACATCTTAAACATCACGAGGAAAGACCGGTCCTGTAATACTTGGAAAAGCATTAGCTGTGACACGTACATTTCAAGTATTTAGTGCGTGGCATGCGGCTCATTTATCGTGCAGCACATACACTTTCTATATCTTTTCCATCTGGGTGGATTATTGTTTGAAGGGAGAAAAGGCCCCTTCAGAGGTTACCAGGGATGTGTAACGTGGAGTTTAAAGAAATGTTCTTAGGGAATGCAGGATCTGGGTCCATAGTTGAATAGAACAACAGCAATTGTCTTCCTACAAGAAAACTATACCTCCTCAGAAATACTGAGATGCATGTACAGTCCAAAGGTTCCCTGTGTCCATCTCCACATCAGTGTAATTCCATCAAGCACAAAGGCATCGCTCCTGTTTGTGCCAGTGTGAATAAAGCTGGAATTGCACCCAGAACTGATGTTTTGGGGCTCAGAGTTTGTTTTCATCTCTCCTGTTAAGCAGAACTAGAGGACTGAAGTCATTGAGTGTAGCCTGGGGGGAAGGAAAGGCTGGAAGGGGAAGTCGTGTTTCACCCCTGCTTATACTGCCATGTTTCACTGCCAGCAGACATCTGCTCTGCTTGTGCACATCTAACCAGCCCTTCACTAGATCTCTAGCAAAGGGAAGTCTCCAGGTATTACAGTGATGTCTCAGGGCCATCCACAGGCAAGAGCCTTCCCTCACTCAGGGTCATGCTGGAGACACACTCTTCCTACTTGGCTACTTATTCATCCCATGTCACAAAGAGCAGAGATGAAACCGGAGACACTTTTTTGTGATACTAAATTGCTGCTCCAAAGGGGCACCTCCCCAGACCCAAAGTGGCGTCTTCTTTCACACACAGACTTTAATTTGGTATTGTCAGGATCACTTTTCTCTCAACTTCCTTTCTTTTTGCTCACAGGAGTTGAAAGGGAAGTGCAGAGGTACCCTTAAATCAGCAGCCAGACCTCACCCAGTAGCAGCTCTTGAGCGTCCGACAGCACGTGCATTTGTTGTCTTTGGAAATTGCTTCTTTCTGTTGTCTCCCACCTAAGAGGATTGATTTAGATTCTGGAAGACTTTTAATGCTTCCAATGTTGGATCCAATTATCTGGGCTAGATTCTAGCTTCTCTTAGCTTTGAGGAGCCCTGGACAAACACTATTATTCATGGTTTAGCTGTCATGACCAATTTTGCATGGGATATCACTGCTTTGGCTGGCAGTGAAGACCATCTCAGGCCTGAAGAGGTTTGCTAGTATAACACAGACCCGGTGCTAATTTAACCACCTCTCCCCACCCAGTGACAGATGCAGCACAGCTTAGATTCTCTCTCTGTGGCCTCGTACTTTGATCATGTAAGGACCTAAATCTGTGTTCCATAAAGGTCATTAGCCAGTGATTGTGATCACCTGGGCCTCTTGAATGAGCATTGGACTCACTGCCTCCAGCCTGTCACATTCAGCTTCACTGATGTTTTCTTTTTTCTGAAAGGTCTGTAGGATGAGGCTTTTTGTCATGCTCTGAGGAAGGAGCAATAAATAAAGTCCCCACAGCCTTGCTATATAACCCCCTCATAATCTGCCTCTCCCCTCACGGAGCAATAAGGAAGGGTGTCTGCTTTAATTGGGAGCTAACGAGCTAATCAGCCTGGGGCTTCACTGGCACCCCGTGGGGATAAAGCTGCTCACACCAGGTGGAGGGTAAGCGAGTGTGAGGGGAGAGGTGTAGCCTAACTTTTCGGGAGACACGGGGGAGGTGTTTTCTAAATCGGCGTGAAGCTTGCGAGAGCTGGCAGATGCTGCTGATTGCCTTCCTGGAGCCCACTGGGGACTTGTGGTGGGTGTTTTGCCTTTTGTACTCACCTTTGGTGACGTTTCTGAGCTCTTGGCTTGGCTGCACCGTTCCAGTCCTGCTTTTGATGGGCTGCTGCTGTCTGGCTACAGCGCCCTGTGCAGCTCGGAGGGCACCGGGGGATCACAGAGGGATCAGCCCAGCGGGTGCTCGCTGCGCTACAATGGCTTTCAAACACATAAGGGTTTAAAGATGTTTTGGAGATGTTTTTCTCTGGCTCTGGGATTCCATTCTGCTCTTCAGTGGTGCAGTGTCACGTTTGCTGCTCCCACTCTCTAATTAGCTCTAGTGCCTGTGTGATCCTGCCGGTGCCGGGGCAGTGCCAGCGGGCTGAGGCCGTCTTCAGAAAACACAGGGTGGGGTGGTTGCTCTGTAACTTGCCCCCTGTGGGGGGTTACCCTGCTGCCTCTCGCTGAGGGGGCTTTGCTTGCGCAGAGCTAAATAATTAAGCATCTCTTCAGGCAGGCAGTGCTTCCAGGAAAGTCTCTGGGATGAGCAATTACTGTCACAGCCAGGGCTGCCCTGTGGGAATGGTCTCTGCAAACAGCATGGGTGCCTCCCAGCAGAAAGCATTGGTCTTCTTTGCTTGATCTCACTTAAAAAAACCAGGGAGAATAATTGGGAAGGAGAGTGAGAGAGTGGTCCCCATTTTCCATTACAAAGCATTCATAATTATTGCTTTACAGCTGAAAATAGGGTAGTTAAGTATGTTGTACAGGCCAGGAGGTGCTCACACTGCCTCGATTATGTGTATTATGGTATTAGAAGGTATTTTACAAAATATAGTTCACAGGATGGCACAATTACAAACAGTGCTTTTTAAAAAAAGCATACACATATATCCCTGCTGAATAGTCTTTCCAAGCAAGGACTAAACACCCAGAACAAAACAACAACAGCATGCAGATTGCCTGAAGAGGTTTTATTTTCCAGTTATCACCAGACAAAATTCAGGTTAACAATACGAAGGCAAGCCTTGGATTCTCTGCTTCTCCAGATAAGTTTGTTTATCCTGTAGTCACTGCAGACTGACTCCCTGTGCCCCTGCAGCATGCCATGCCATGTGGCAGCAGGATACAGAGACTGTGGCACTCTAGTGGGGTTGGTCATGCTATAAGCAACAGGCTTGAGAGGTGCCACTGAAGGGAAAGGTCTCTGGTTAGGACAGTCGGTTGGGTGAGAGTCAGGTGGGGAGAACGGGCCATGTCTCATCTCACCCAGGAGGGTTTCTCATCACCTGTGCCCTGGGCACTCTGCACGGAGCCCTGAGAGGACTCATCTCCTGTCTCCTGCTCTCTTTCTCTGTGTGTCTTGCTCTGCTTCCAGGGGGAGAGAGGCATGCCAGGGCTGCCAGGAAGACATGGCTCTAAGGTACCTTGTAACCAGAGGAGTGATGCTTGTCTGCCTGATCTCACCCATAGCACTCGCCTGTCCCTGATGCACAAGCATCGCCTGGAGTTGTGTGTGTGTCCGTTAGTTAGTGACTGTCCTCAGCTGAATTATTTCTGCTTCTAAATTGCAAAACATAGGGCCTAATTTATGCAGGGGATGGTGGGGGAAGAAGTGTTTTAGCAAGCAAATGGCATGCCCAGTCCAAGGATGACTTGCAGCATCAGGATCTTAATGCTTTACGCCAGTGAGAGCGGCCAGTGCCAGTAGGGAATTGGTGTTTTGTAAATTGGGGGTCCCAGGTGACCGCAGCAAATGTGGGATCAGCAGGGCCAACCCAGACTAATGCAGTGGTGAATCAGGGTCAGTGTGTGAGCAACCCTGCATGTCTGTGCCTTGCAGTTTAAGGATAAGTACTGGAGAATAACCTCATCCACACTCACTGCCATCTGAAGGCCAAAGAGTGAGGAACAGGCATCCCACCTGCACTGCAAAAGCCTAACCCAAAGCTGCTTGCTGCATGTTATCCCTTTTCATGGCTCTAGCCTGTATTCACTGAAACCTACTGACCCTGAGACAATCTGGAATGCTTTTTCCCCCCATTTATTGCATAGAATCCCTGATCTCCATCTTCTGTCCTTGTGTTTTTTAGCTTTTGTCCCCGATTTCTGTTTCAGAAAGCTGAGAGGTATGATCCTGCTGCTCTCTGGCTCCCCACTCCTCCTTGTTTGAACTTTTCCAAGCTCTTTTCACTTTCAACTTGGCTCCCAGTCCTCCTCTCTGCCTTGTGCTACATCCCAACCCCTCATGTTTCCTAACTTCTAACACCACTTCACTCCCTGCCCTCTCCCTAGTTGACCCTCATATTTGTTTTTGTAACTTGACCTTTTTGCCAGGACCTAACTACTACTAATACAGGGCATTCAGAGATTTCAGAGCAGAGGGTTGATAGGGAGACCTGCTTTTTGCATTAGTGCTGTTGAGGGCGATGTGGCAGTGCCTATGGGAGCAGCTGCCGGGGGCTCCGAGGCTCCTGTCTGGGATGGCAGGGCAGGCTGGACCCCGCTGTCCTGTGGGGGTGCCTCGCTCTGCGCTGCAGAATGACACCTGAATGGCAGATGTGTGGCTTCAGAGCTCTCCTGAAAATGTTTTACTGCAGGGTTTGTCTTCTGTGATAAAAACAGAATGATGGGAAATAGCAAGGCCAAGGCTCTGGGGTACGAGCTGGCCTTTCTCGAGATGCTCGAGCTGATGTATCTGGGCTCAAGCACTGAACTGGGGGTTTGGTCCTTGGTCTGTCTTTGCATTCCTCAGTTATTTGACACTGTTCATCTTGTTGGCCTTTGCTTCATTTGCAAGACTAAAACCAGGATGGGGGGTGGAAATCTGGTTGTCTTGACTGGGTTGTGCTTTGGAGGAGCTTTCTGGAATGCAGAGCCACTGCCATAGGTTAATGACCTGCGCAGGGAAGGAGAGTGTGTGCTGTGTGGTGTTACAGCATTACTTCTGAGTTGTGGAAAGGAAAAGATGTGGATTTTTGCCTTTTTAGTTCCACCTGACTGATGCTGTTTTGCTTTTTAAAATTTTGTGTCTGATTAATTTTCAAACAAGGTGTTCCTGTCTTTCCTCTCTCTGCCAGGGCGCTCCTGGGATGGCCGCTGCAGGGATGAAGGTCAGTTTTACACTGCAGTGCCTTGAGTAGGGCACGGGCTGGGGCTGGGAGAGCGCAAGGCGCTGGAAAATGGTCGGACAGCTCCCACTAAAGGGAAATATCAGAACTGCCATGCCTTTGGCAGAGGTACTGGACCTGTCTCCAGCAGCAGCCCTGCTACCCGGCACCGCTCTCGCAGAGATTGGTGAACTCGGATCATCACAGCCTCCCTCAGCCCCAGCTGCACCCGCAGCCTTGCTCTGCCCCTCTGCACGCACAGCTGGGAGCAGGCAAATTCCAGGAGATGAGTCTTATCTTACTATGCTCCCTGGTACCTGGTAAGCCTCTTGAAGTACTGCAAGATGATTACTCAGTTTTGTAGAAGCCATTACTCTCAGGTTTGCTGGTTTCTTACAGCAGCCTGGACACTGGCCAATGAAGATAAAACAAACTCCAGGCACAAAAGTCTGCACCTAAAGCATTCTTATGCCCTTATTTACAAGCCCAAAGGCCCCACAGATGAAGGTTCTTTTCTCTACTCTGATAGCTCTAGGAGGATTTGTACTCTCTCCTCTGGTTTTTCACTTTATTTTCCTGTCTCTTCCTCACCAGGGCGAGCCTGGGACTCCAGGAGAAAAGGTACTCTCAGAAGGCTTTACTGTGAGCCTGCACTTCTAGTTGGTTTGTGTATCTTCTTTTTTTTTTTTTCCCCTCCTGGAGCAGCTGAGGGATGGCTCTGTACTTCCCAGTGCCCAAATCCAGGCCCAAATGGCACCTGCTGGTGTAAGCAAAATGGTAATAGGATACAGGGATACCAAGTGAGAGAGGGACTGTATTGCAAGCATTCCCTCCCTCCTACTTCTGTCTGTGTGGATGGGAATACCCTCCTCCAGCTGCCTTCCTCCTCTCCTCCCTGCTCCACAAAACATGCACAGCATGCTTTGCTTAGTGAATATGTTCCCTCTGTCCCTTCCCCATCCCCTTCTGCCTCCCAGGCTTCTGATCCCACCAGCAGCCTTCCCCTGTCCCTGAAGGGGGCTGTTCTGCTGTGCAGTGTCTACCCATGTTCTCAGTGTAGCCTGACCTGGTTTGAGTTCCCAGGGCAGGTACAGTACAGAAGTACCCCATCCATGAGCTCTCCACCCCTAAGCAGCCACTTTGGCTTGGGAGCAGCTGGCCCCTCTGGTTTGAGGTTGGCTGGGTTGTGTTATAGAGTGTGACAGCCACATAACAGACACATTCTCTGTCTCTTTTCTTCCCCACAAAGGGAGATCCTGGAGTCCCAGGGAGGATGGGCCCCCCAGGTTTGCCAGGGAAGAGGGGGCAGCGGGTAGGACATTGTGTGTTTGGGCTGGGTGTCCTGGCAGTGCCGTGCTGTGTTCCCTGCGAGCGGGAGCTGGCGGGAGCCTGCTGCGTGTTGAATTATTGTGCTTGCAGGGGATTATGTGTCCTTTGCTGGCTCTTGCCCCCTTGGTGAAGTGTGTTTGCATGTTCCCGCTTGCAGGAGTGGGGGGCTGGTGGCAGGCAGGGCAGCATGAGATGCCTGGGATGTAGTCTTGTCCTGGGAATGATTAAGGACAGTGCCGCCTCTTTTTGACTCCAGAAATAACACCCTACAGAGGGATTCAGTAATCTGACCTCCCTCCTCAAGAAATCTGCTGCTTTGCACCTTAGTTCTGGCAGCACAGGATGTTTTCAGTAGCCCTTATGGACATGTGTATTCCAAATTAGTCCTTGAATGAAAAGTGGGATACTGAGGCAGAATTGGGGATTCACAGAGGCCTGGAACAGGATTAGCCATTATATCTCTACAAAAACCCCAAATGCCCAGCCTTTTCCTTGGGTTCTGCAGATGTTTTCTCTCTTTCCAGGGATAGAAGCATTAATTTATGGCAGCAATGTGCATGCTCCAGCAGAGGAGGAAAGCTGTGGGGGTCTTACAGGTGGCTGGAGGCCAAATTACCTTGGAGAAAGGGGTCACTGGGACCCCTAGGATTGTCTGAAAAAAAGATTGCTGCTAGTTAATTATTTTCCACGGAGCCACCAGTGCATGTCTGTTCCTGCAGCATTGATGCTCTAGGAGTCTCACTGAGTCCCCTGCATGTCAGATGGGTGCCCTTGAGTTCTGATAAGCAGCACCAGCCTCTGCAGGCAGAGACAGGGCTCCAGGAGCCATTGTGGAGAGAGCTGGGCAACGTGTGGGGGGAAAGAGGGTTTGAATTGTTCTGTGTAATCTGTACAAGTTGCTGAGTCTTGGAGGTGTGAGGGTTGAAGGTAAGAACACACCTTTCCCTGGTGATGCATTTGAAACATCTTTTCAGGGTAACAGAAACTTCCGATATCTCTCTCTGTCCTGGCAAAATTCGCACTCCCAAACAGGACACTGTGCCTGGAAACCATGGATTTAGCAGCTGGATGGAATGGGGCTGAATAGAACTTAACTTCAGCATAAAGACCACTAATTGAGTTCCAATATTGAAAATATGGCCCAGCTGTCATGGTGAACTAAGCAAAGCCACTTCACCAAGGGAGTGCTGGGTGCCCTCCATTGTTCACTGCCCGTGGCATCCTCTGTGGTGCCTCACATGGCCCAGCCTGCAGCCCTTGCTCTCCAGGCATCATCTTACACCATCAGCTGCTGTCTTAGCCACTTTTGCCGCTCTTGTCTTCGCTGCTTTTCACGACCAGTGTGTGTCGCAGAGCTTGGCTGCCAACTGAGACGCTGCACTGCCTGTTTTTTGTAAGAGCACGATGAGACTGGGATTTGGAGTTAGGGAAGAGGAGCAAGGCATGGAGAAAGTCCTGTGTGCCAAATAAAATTTGCCCTGGGCAACAGCTTCTCTGTAAGTATAGAACAGGGAGATCCTGGGCTGAAGAACTGTCAGGGAAATGGGTTTAGCAGACTAGAGCGATAAGGAAGATTCTCGGGGGGACCCTGGATCCCTTTCCCACTCACCTTCCTTTGGAGAGAAATGACAATGATGTGTAGAGATAGTCAACAGGAAGGAAGAAAACATTCACTGCTGGAGGATGTCCTGACTGTCCCTAAAATAAAATGCCTGGGGAGGGGAAGGAGAGTTTGAAACCAGGAACAGCTCACCCTTTGGCTGCTCCTCCAGAATGAAGAGTCTGCAGAGGCAGCCCTGACCGTGTCTGCTTTGCCAACAGGGCGAGAAGGGACGAGCTGGTGACCCTGGGCTTCCTGGACTCCCTGGGCCGAAGGTTTGTCTCTTCCCTGATATTTTGGTTTTGGTGGGACCACTCTCCTCCCCTTTCCTTCCTCCCTCCTGTGTGGTGCAGCTCTCGCACTCTTAGGTGACTGTGGCAGCGTGTTCTGCAGCACTCAGCTGGATGTTCATGCCCCAGGGATGTGAGGGGGCACACAAAGGATGCCTTTTGGTGAGGAATTCCATGCACTCATGCATGGGGGAGAGGTTGTGGCCCTGGGAATGGGACCATGGAACCACATTCCAGTAACTCCTTGTTAAAAGCATGACCTCAGATGTAACGTGGCATTTCAGCCTCCCTCCAGCTCCAAGATCCTTGTGTAGTGAGGAGATGGGCTTTTTGGGAGCTGCACTGCTGTGCTCTGAGTTGGAGGAGTAGCCTTGTGCTTGGAGAGACCCAGGGCAGGTCAGGTCAGCTAAAGCTAAGCCTTCAAACTGGCTTTTTCCCAGTGCTCTGAGATTTCTAGATAGAAATCACACCTTTCAAATCAGACTTTCACAAAGTGCTTTTCCTTTGGGCAAGGGGACAGTGCATGGAATGACAGTGGCCATTTCAGGAAGTGATGTAATGGCAAAGGTTTTCTGTTGCTGCCTTTTTATCTACTGTGTGCAAAGGATGTGGTGTGCAGGTCTGACTGGCTAATGACTACAGTTCCTGAGAGAGACATTGCAAAGGAAGCCACTCTCAGGTGGTTTTACCAGCTCAGTTCTAACAGTACAACACAGTTGTGTTCAGGCTGGAGGCCAGGGATGAGGTCTGTGCACAGGCCCTGGGCAGTAAGTGCTGAGCGGCCGCAGGGATGAGGATACCTGTGGCTGCTGGCAGGGCTTGACATGGACCCCTGGCAGGACTGACCTGGTTCCTGGCCAGCTCCTGGTTCTGGAGCAGTGCCTTTCTGGGCTATCAAGAGTCCAGCTGATAGACCTTGTCTTGGGCCATGGCTCTTGAAGCCAGCAGTTTGGCAAGTGAAATTACAGAGGTGGAGAATCTGATCTGTGACACATGCCTTGTTCTTCTTTGCAAACAGGGAGAGAAGGGAATTGCTGAGAATGCCTTGGTGGGAGCTAAAGGAGAACCTGGCCCTCCAGGTCTGCCTGGACCCCCTGGACCAAAGGTGAGTGCTTTTTTTTCCTTCAGGGGCTTGTGTGTTGTGAGGGATTGTGCCCAGCACAAGGTGTGTAGAAAGGAGCAAAGGTTGCATTCATCTGTGCCCACCTCTGATTACCTGCTGAAGGGGTGTCAGGTGCTGCAGAGTGTAATTTAGTACTGTTGTTCTAAATGCTGAAGGTGATTTGTGAACTGTTTCTGGAAGGAAAATACCCTGCTTGTGCTCAAGTAACTCCCCTCTAGGCTCTGTGAGAAACCAGTCTGAACACTCCCTCTGCACTGGGTGGAGCAGAAGGGCTCCTGGTGGGAAGTCGTGGCAGGAGATTTGGGCTTCCCAAGGAGAAGGGGGCACAGCAGGGGCACTTGGCTGGTGCAGTTCTTCCTCCTGGAAATGCAAAGCCAAAGTGAAGTCACCCCTGGTGCACACAACACAAACCCATTCCTTTCCCTTTCTCTTTCTGCCAGGGAGAAGCTGGTGACGTTGGCCGGCCCGGTGCTGTAGGGTCACAGGGAGAAAAGGTACAGAATTTCTGCATAAACCAGCTCCAGGTTCAGAGGTTCAGTAGCTGCAAGTTTGTTCCTACACTTACAAAATTTACTGGAAAAGGAGAATTTTTAAGTTAAGCTGTTAAGCCCAGACAGTTCCAGAGGACCAGCAGAGAATGATTCCTGGAGTTTGAGCAAGTGAAGGGGCAGGCTCTGTTAACAGCATGTTCTTCTTGTTACAGGGGGAACGTGGTTCACCAGGAGACCAGGGACCCATGGGCCCAAGGGTAGGTGTTCCTTCACTAATGAGGAGTTTGGGTCCTTCAGAGGGGTCTGAGGATAGTGGGGCCATACTGACAGTCCAGGTCGGGTCTTCCTGTCACCAAAATGCTCATAGCTGAGCAATGGCTAAGTTTGAGACAGGCCATTTATTTCTCCACTCCGTCTCCCACCTCCACATTAGAAGGAAAAAGTCTTCCAAGCCATCTCAGGGTGGCTCGTTTGTAGGAGGAGGTGGGTTTGGGCATCCCAGTCTGAACTCAGACCCTTGGCCTATGAGAGAAGGGCAGCAGGAGGGTGCTTGGTGCGTGCCCGAGACCAACAATTGGTCAAAAAATCCAGTTCCTGGATTCTGGCTTGAACTGCACCTCTTCCCGGACCTGCCAGCTTTGATGGTCAAGGCATGGAGATCTGGGCTGGGCTGGCTGCACTTCTGTAGTGTTTCCTACCCTACAGAAGCTTTCTGTAATAAATGAAGAACTGGGCTATCTAATAAATGAAGAACTGAGCCCCCTTTTTCAGGGTGAACCACAGCTCTGAGCACCCCAAGGGAAGGGCAATCCCAACCCCTGGCTAAAGAGGTGGTACTTTGCAGGGCCCCAAAGGAGAGCCTGGGAAGGATGAAATGATGGACTATGATGGGAACATCAGTGAAGCTCTCCAGGTGAGCAACTACCCTCCTGTCCTGTGAGGTGACTGCTGGATGCTTTACAATTTTCCAGGGGATGCAGACAGCTGGGAACAAGGTAGATCTGCTTCCTCAGCAGTAGCAGCAAAGGGAAGCACTTGGACTGTGTGCCATAGTCCCCTCCATCCCACAGCTCCCTGCATGTAGTGTTTTTGTCAATACCTGGGCACCTTGCTAGGCTGATGGATTAACACCAGTGGGTGTAGAGGTCATGTGAATCCCCTCAGGAGTGGCCTATGGTGTGGGATAGGTGGTGAGTGAAGGTCACCAAAGCTTCCTGGGAAGTGTGCACTGAGGATGAGCAGTGAGTGAGTGGCTGTGCCCAGCTCTGAGTTAGCCTGGGTTCCACTTTGGAAAAGGGGAAATTGTAGAATAACAGCTCTGTGGGACTCAGAGTGAGGGTTTTTTGCTCTTGTTAATTCTGTAGGTTTCTTCCTCACTTAGGCCAGTGTTACATTAGTGGAGAAGAAACTACCTCCAGGAAAAAGCTTAGTTTTCTGATAACTGTTTTAGTTTTTAATTTTATTTTTTTTCCTGTATTTTCCTAGGAAATAAGAACTTTGGCCTTGATGGTGAGTTCTGGTCTTTGCTGTGGGGTTTTGCATGAGTAGCCTTATGCCCATCCTAGGCAGAAGGCCTGACAATTTAGATGCAGCTAAAACATTTGGCCTTTGCTCTTGGGAGATAAAGCTGGGGCAGCTGACAGCTGAAGGGAGAGCTCATCTTGCCTTCTGATCTTGAATTCTAATCAGGACTTTGATCTCTCTGCTTTAAGACATAATACATGCTGCTGAGAACAGGGAGTGCTCAGAAGGAGCAGGGAAGAGCAACTCTGAGGACTCTCCACTGCTTAGCTTCCCAGCCAAATATGATTTTAGGAATCCCTTGAAAAATTCCCTGTGATTTCCCTTTAAACTCCGGAGAGCCTTTGGGTTTCAAAACACAAAAATAAAAGCTCTGTTGATAATATGAAAATGAACTTTTTCTTTATCTAGGGACCCCCAGGACTTCCAGGTGTGGCTGGACCTCCAGGGCCACCAGGACAGAAGGTACTGGCTCAGTTCAGCACTTGCAAAGCTTAAGGAAACACAGGAGTACCCCAGGAAGAATTCCCACCCACAACTCTTCCCTGTGCTCCTATCTCCCTGTCCATCACTCTTGAACTGTCCTGCTGGCCTCTACCACTCCTCCTCATGCACTATATCCTGAAAATCTCTTTTCCCACAATGATAATGCCTTATCTGAAAGATGAAGGATCCTTTCTACTTTCCCTCCCCTTCAGAGAGCAGCTTGTGGGAACTGCACTCTGTGGAATTGTGTTGGTTGGGGACCGTGTTACAGTACTGGGGCTGTGAACTGGCAGTCAGGATCAACAAGACATGGAAAATGCTCAGGCAGTCACACAATGTATTGTTTCAGCAGAGGCTTCCATGCTTTATTTTCTGTAAAAAATAAAAAAACCCAGGTTTTTCCATGCTTTTTTCCTGTGACTAGTCCCTGCAGTCATTTCTGCAATGCCTGTCCTTCATTGTCACCATGAATGAGTCACAACAGCTGCTTTCAAACTGCCAGAGTAACAATTCTGTGTTTCAGGGTGAAATTGGCTTGCCAGGTCCTCCAGGCCATGATGGAGAAAAGGTAAGGCATGATGCTCTTCCCTTCAGTGGCCTTACCTGGCGTCAGTGTGTTCCACCTCTGTCACTGACAGAGCACAGTTGCTTTTCCCACAGGGGAAAACAGTATTTTGCTTGACAAAAGTGAGCATTAATGGTTTATCAGTGTCCTAACATTTGTCAGGGCAATGCTACTTTGTGCTGTCTCCAAAGGGCATATCCATGAGGGAGAGGATGAGCGCTGGGAGAGGCTCTGGGCCAGGCAGGAATAAACTTTCTGTTATCTGTAAAAACTTCACTTTGTGTTGTGTGAATTTATTTTAGGGACCACGTGGCAAGCCTGGAGAAATGGGCCCCCCTGGCCCTCACGGACTGCCAGGAAAGGATGGACCCCCTGGAATAAAGGGAGAGCCAGGCCATGTCGGGGGCAGAGGAGAGAAGGGCGATAAGGGAGAGCCAGGACAAACGGGCTCACCGGTGAGTAAACCAAGGCCTCCCAGACTACTGGTGGCTACCCAGGTTATGGGCAAGGCCCTGGGACTACTTGGGCACCTGCGAGCCCCTCCGAGGTGGGTGCTGCTGTGTGAAGTGTGACACTACAGAAGTGAGATCCTGGCATCTGGCAGATGTGCTGTCCCCGCTGCCTGCCCTGCTCTCTGGGCCCTGTGTCACTACCTCAGCTTGCTGCCTGGCATGTTGCTGGCACTGACTCTGAGCAAGGAGGCTGAGGCACCAGTACGCTCCATCCTGGGAGGGCACCTGCATGGGGTAACCCGTGACATCCTGGCCACTAACAGGGGCACAGTGCCCGGGCTCCCAGCTTGTCTGTCACAGCTTCTGTGTCCCCAGCACTGCTCAAGGACAACGACTTCCTGCCTCTCTATAAGAGCACTAGGATAAAACTCCTGCTGTCTCAACAGCTGGCTGTTGGGGAGTGATTCCTACCATGGACTCCAGCAAACTGCATAACCACGAGCAGAACATGGAGGCAGGAAAGCAGTGCCCCATCCCCGCTCTGGGGACGGGCACATCCACAGTGGCAGGAGGATGTTCAGCCATTTGTTCATCCGCTTCCAATACTAGTGAAGCCCAGCATTTCCCTGGGCACCTGATGGATGTCTGGGGTTTTCAGGGAGCTCTTGGGATGGCCAGAGCCAGTCTTGACTCCTGCAATGATGTCTTGTGTGTCTGCCTGACTTAGTCTTGCAAAAAATCCACAAATCTTTCTTGATCCATAGGGTCTAGATGGCCCCACTGGAGAGAAAGGCGAACGAGGTGACCAAGGGATTCCAGGACCATCAGGATTGCCAGGTCCCATTGGACTTCCAGGATTGACAGTAAGAATGGGAAAGACAGGCTGCTCTTTCCTGCTTGGTAAAGAGACAACAGCACAGAGCAGCACACAAGGGTTCATTTCCCAAAGTGCTGAGTATCCCGGGAGACTCAGAGCCCTGCCCTTAATTAGGTGTTGTAGAATGTCCGTCTGGTCTCCAGCAGCAGGCAGGGAATGTGGAATACACGGTCTGCTCACACTCCTCCCTGAAGGAGCTGCTGCTGGCCAGCACATGGGTGGTTCACAAACGGCTTCTGATGGAGGGAGACTCCAGAGCACAGCCAGTGGTGACAGGGTCTGTTGTTGTGTGCAGGGAGAGAAGGGTGAGCCTGGGGAACATGGAGACAAAGGAAATCCAGGAGAATCGGTAGGTCACCTTTCTCATGTTTCTTCTGCAATCTGGGCAGCCAGGGAGGGATGATTTGTCAGCAGAGCTGCTGGAAACAGGCACATCCCACCCTCTGGTGATACCCCCTCACTGAGGACAGCAAGGCCTCATCTCCTGGGACTGGATCACCAGCCACCTCTAGCTCCTGATGCCCTCCTTTCCCTGACACAAGAACAATCTATCTCACAACCAGCAGTCAATAAGGAATGCCTGGGGTAGAACAGAAGATCTTGGAAAGTGTAACAAATATTTTCCTCAGCATTTGCAGTATAGGGGTTTCCTAGCAATACTTGCATATATATATATATACACACACATATACGTTTAGGGTTTTTTCAGTAGATTTTAGGGTTCTTGAATTTGCCCACTCTCCCCTCAGAACTCACCCCTAGGTTTTAGAATGCCCTGCAGCAAGGAGTCCCACAGGCTGTTGACATGTGTGGAGCCAGCCACCTTCTTCCCTATCTTTTGCTCTTTGACCCTGTGCCTCCTTGCTTGAACTGTGGTAGAGTAGTGAAAGCAGACATTTCTTTGGCAAAAACCTCACTGCTTTCTCTACTCCTAAATATTTGCAACTGCTGCATAACCCTCCCCAGCATCCTGCTGCTGCTTCCCAGTCACTCTGTCCTGGATCGCTGGTACTTCCAAATGCAGTCCTTAGGGGGAGTCCAGGTTTCCCAGCCTGGCAGAGATCTGCTGCACCTTGTGCCCTGTCTGCCTTTGTCCCTAGGGCAGCATATTGACGGTGACTTCTCCTGGTTTTCTTTCTAGATATCTGGCCCCCCCGGACCCCAAGGTCCTCCTGGACCTCCAGTAAGTTTTGAGTGATTCACCTCAGGAGCAAGGCACTGGGAATGGGGGGGATTCTGTGTGGAGAAAACAGGCAGAACCAGTGCAATGTTGAAATGGGAAAAGTATCACTTCCAAACCCACCCCCAGGGTAGGTCAGAGCTATGGTGGGCTGGGTGGGCAAAGAGAGGGGGTTATGTTAGTCTCAGATGAAAGGGAAGACAGTAGTAAAATGGGATGATGGGATTAAAGGGATCAACTGCAGAAATGGTCTTAATAGCACACCTGGCCCCCTGCCAGGATTTGCTTGGCAAGAGCCTTCTCGTTACCAGATGAGAACAGTACATGAAGTGCCCGTGACACAAATAAAGAGGCCTCTGTGCCCTCAGAAAGCGAAAGCTCTGTACTGAACACTGAGCTGGGATACCTGGAGTTTAAAGCCCATCCTGAAACATTACTCATGTCTTGTCTTTCATCCCAAATACAGGGTCTTCAGGGCCTCCCAGGACCTAAGGTAAGGCTGCAAGATATTACATCCTGAAATTTAACTGAAGTTGTCGTAGGTGTTAGAATTCCCTTCAGTAACAACTTCCTAGTGTTCAAATAGTACTTTTCTTCCATCTTTGTAAAAGGACAAATCCTTCTGGATGTTTTCTTGAAGGAAATGGATTAGCAGCCCTCACTTTAGGGCCCAAAGGACTGATCGTTCCCTCCAGTTTTCACCCAGAGAAGTGGGAAGTCACTGGTCCATGGAAATTTTCCCATGAGAAAACAGTTGAAATCTTTGCCTGAAGGGTCAAGATCTGTACAGCAGGATGAACATACATCATACATCCCTAAGTAACTGACCTGTAGCTTGAAAGGAGCCTTAAAATTACCCTGTATGTTCTGCTGTAAAGCACTCGAGAACTTCCCTGTCCTTGGTGGTGAGAATCTTTTTAATCTCCGTCTAAATGCTCAGCCCACACTATTGCTTTGCCTGCTGTAAAACAGCTCCTAGACAAAAAATAGTTCAAGGAAAGCTGCATCTTTCCTCTGAAATTCTGGGCAAAGATTGGAAAATGTGGCAAACATCTTAATTCTTCTGGTTATCCTCAGTATTTGGCCACCAGCACTGTTTGGGTGCTGAAGGGGATGGTGTCCTTATCCCGATTCTCCTTTCCTCCAGGTGTTATTACAGGCACAGTAATCTCTCTGGTCTATAACTCAGTAGCCACTGCTATCACGTGGCTGGGAGACTTGTGCAAACTTAGTTCTTCTGACACTTCTGTCTCAAAATGCAACCAAAATAACGTCTTAAAATGCCTCACGAACAGGAATGAGGGGAAAGAAGCTTTTGGTTACACTTTGAGTTTGTGAGAAAAAAATTATTTAATGTATTGTGTTTTGTTTAATATTGCTATATAGTTCATAAAACAGAATTTAAAAAATACAGTTGGGAAAGGAATGATGAAATTATTTTCCCCAAATGTTTAAACTGATGCCTTTACATTTACAAAAGTCTTTGCAAAGATGACTTCTGCATGATTTTTCTCTGAAGCTTGTAGACACCTGTTATTTACTTTCAATGAATCCACATCTTAAAATGTAAACCTGCCCTATCAGATAACTTCTGGTTATTTGTCTATAAATATATATACAGCAACAACAGCAGGGAGAGCAGCACAGGAGTGAGCCCAGTTCCCCTTTCAACATCTTTACTCACAGGGCCTGAATCTCCTCCATCTGCCATTAACTTAGAACAGGTGCTCACACAGGGGGAATTTGACTGACAGTGGTTTTCTTCAAATTGGGCTGAAAATTGGGCTAAAGCATTACTCTGGTGCCTCTTGTATCCCCCCTGCTGCTCTGGGGCTCTCTGAAGGGAGGAATGTTTGTTATATAAGTGCTGTTATGGTGAGTTTATTTTCTTCTCCATCCTTCCTTTAGGGGGAAGCAGGGATTGATGGAGTGAAAGGAGAGAAGGGTGCCCAGGGTGAAAAAGGAGACAGAGGGCCACTGGGATTACCCGTAAGTATCCAGGAAGCAAACAGCACTTTGTAAGCCAAACTTGTGTCAGCTGTAAAAAGATCCCTCAATAGGAGACGCATGCGGGGATTTGATATGTAAAGACAGAGAAAGAGATGGTCTATAAATAACTGTGCCTTTGCTCTGTACAGAGCCTTCAACTTTCAGATCTGTTGAGTAGATCAGCAATCACTTTATTTCTTCCTGCTTCTGGGAGGATTGGGAAAAACAAGCAGTAGCTTTCCTGGGGGTTCTCTGCACTTCAGGGCAAAGGGACAAGGCCAGAAACAGAAGTCAGAGATGTGGAAAAGTAAATGCCTTCCCAGCCACTTGTCACCTGGGCCAAGCTTTGTACAAAGCATGGTGGTTCTCAGTGCACCCAACTTCTTCAGTAGCCAAAACATTCCTGTCACTTCTGCTGTGGAATCAGTGCTTTCCCTGCCCTGGCGTGTCCCTGCTGTGCATGAACTCAGTCCTTTTAGCTTATGTTAGTGCACTGCTTGGCAGCCAAAGGAATTGTGGCTCAATACATTACAGAGAAGCTGCAGGAGCTTTAGATACAAACCTGGGGACTTGGTGAAGCTCTTGGCTCACATCTGCTAAAGCCTACTGTGTGAGCTGACAGCTGATAATGAGTTAGTCCCACCCAGTTGCTCCACTGGCCCCAAAGCCCTCTCCTCATAAAAAGCACTGGTGGCACAGTACACCCTCTCCCTTTCCTGAATGCTCTGGAATGAGCACTGCAGAGTGCATCTCATGTACTGTGTGACTTTGTTGTCCTGTGTTTGACCACCCAGATCCTTGTCCCTGACTTTGGCTGAAACGTGCGTGTCTTTGTTTGTAAAATGTTTTCCTCCTTTAGTTGTGCTGTGTAGCAATTCCCTTCCAGGGACTGAATGCATCCCCACTGAGTCTAGGCCCCCAAGTGAGCTCACATGACTGTATTCCTGTGGCTCCAGGCAGAGCCAGTGGGGAGAAAGCAGTGCTTTGGGAAGGCCACAACAACCCCATGCAGCGCTACAGGCTGGGGACAAGAGTGGCTGGAGACCAGCCAGGCAGGAAGGGACCTGGGAGTTTGGATTGACAGGAAGCTGAACATGAGCCAGCAGTGTGCCCAGGTGGCCAGGAAGGCCAATGGCATCCTGGCCTGGATCAGGAACAGTGTGGCCAACAGGTCCAGGGAAGTGATTCTGCCCCAGTACTCAGCACTGGTGAGGTCACACCAGTTCAGGAAGGATATTGAGGGGCTGGAGCACATTCAGAGAAGAGCAGCGAGGCTGGAGAAGGGACTTGAGCACAAGTCCTATGAGGAGAGACCGAGGGAGGTGGGGTTGTTGAGCCTGGAGGAGACTCAGGGGAGACCTCCTCACTCTACAACTCCCTGACAGGAGGTTGTAGCCAGGTGGGGGTTGGTCTCTTCTCCCAGACAGCCATCAGCAAGACAAGAGGGCTCGGTCTTAAGCTCTGCCGGGGAGGTTTAGGTTGGATATTAGGAAGAAATTCTTTACAGAGAGGATAATCAGGCACTGGAATGGGCTGCCCAGGGAAGTGGTGGATTCTCCATCCCTGGAGGTTTTTAAGATGAGACTGGATGTGGCATCAGTGCAATGGGCTGGGAACCACAGTGGTAGTGGATCAAGGGTTGGACTTGATAATCTGGGAGGTCCCTTCCAACCCAGCTGATTCCATGATTCTGTGATAAAATGCAGAGGATTGTGCTGCAGTGAGAAGGCAGAGCCCAGTCCCACGAGAAATAGAAACAGAAGCTTTCTGTGTAGATGGTTATTCCCTCAAGGCTGTGGGGTATCTGGACAGGGGAAGGAGATCCTTGTGACAGTCTGAGAAGAAGATGCCCCAGCAATTGTCCTGGGAAGCTCACCAGCATGGCAGGGAATGTGCTGGCTGCTTCTCCTAGAGCCCCATTAGCCCCCAGGGTCCCTTGGCTTCTCGTGTCACTCTTCCTGAGCTGTGGAGGGGGGAAGGCTCAGAAGTGTCCTCTGGGAAATATTTTGTGTTTGGATCAGCACTATCAGCTGGGCAACCAGGAAGCACAGTTACTGAGCTGCTGGTAAGATCAGACACTGTGGACCTTGTGTCCCTCCTCAGAGCCACTGAACTCTGTTCCTAAGCTTTTTCATGCCTGATCCTGTGTGTCTTCAGCCTGTAAAACTAAATGCAGTGCCAGACAGGTACTGAACTATTTCAGACTGTAAAATCATGCAGCTGGATCTGTTGCCTTTTCCTCTGTGACTAAGGGCTTGACATGATGCCAGAATTTCAACAGCCTTGGGCTTCTCTATGGCAATGCAGGTTCCAACTCTGCTGTCACATTGTCCTTTTTGTGATCTGTCACAGAACAGCTGGTTCCCCAGGAGTTTTCTTGGTGGCATTGAGAGAAGGAAATTTACCCTCTTTAAGAGGATCTAAAAGTTGCAGGTCAATGTTATATGTATTCAGTGTTTCTGTGTTTTTGTTGGTTTGCTTGTAAGTACCATCACCTGTCCTTGAGATCTTAATTTTTGTTAATTGCAAGCATATGTTTGTCTCAAGTCACTGCTTCACTCACCTCTCCCCTCCCCTCTCCTCCTGCCTTGTTTTTGTGAACCCTCCCCGTCTGTTCAGGGTGCTTCAGGTTTAGACGGCAGGCCTGGACCACCGGTGAGTTCCATTTCTCCATTGCCCTATGTTCCTCCTCCCCAGTTCCATGATTTGTTTTGTGTCTTCCAGCCCAGCTCTAGTTTACACCAGGAATAACCTTAATTTGTTCCGAAGCAGGCTTGGGAGGGTGGCTAAACTTAGACTGGGGAGTGATGTCACACACTTGTCTTTTTTGATGCTATGAGTCTGTCTGGATCCTGGGATCACAGCTGCCTTGTTCCACTTTGCCTCAGTAACAAGATGAATGAAACCTCTGCATGGTTCCATGATGCTCTGTTCTCCTGTCCTCTCTGTCCTGAGGGGTCTCTGTCCTGTAGTTCTCCATGGTAGCCTTGCTTGCTGCCTTTACACAGCAGGAGCTCTTTGGTTTTGTCTGAGGTGTAATAACGCCAGAGCGTTTTGTGCTGTGAGCAGGAACGTTTGTGTCAGCTGCTCTGACTTCTGAACAGAACATGAATGGCAGCTTATACACTCACTTCTTTGGGGATATTGTAGATTTAATTTTATAGATGTGCAAGGGAGACCTCAGTGTATTCCAAGGCACTGAGTGATGCCGAAGTGCAGGCAATTAAGATTTCCATGATTGTATGAATTCAAGGAGAGCCCGATTTTTCTTACTTCCTTCACTGCACTGAAGTTGTGTGCTGCATGAGCTACTCCTCCACTTGTATTCTGCAGATCTTAACTTGTCTGAAAACCTCTCCTGATCCACATGAATCATCCTGCTCACATTGGAGGGGTTACTTCAGTGACTAAGGATTGCAGGCTGACGTTAAAAAATGCAAACCCCTTTGCCTTAAGTCTTTTAGAAAGCCTTGGTTCTTCCTAGGAAGCAGGTAATATGCCTCAAAAGTATCCCTTTATTGAGGCTCCATGATGGAAGTGTAGATCCATGCCTGTGTGGTTAGCAAAGTGTGGATGGAGTTCAAGGAGTCTATAAAGAGTTGGAAGTGCCCAAATCCTGTTCTTAGCCAGAAGGACTATTGCTGAACTGCTGCACTGCCCACATTAAAGATCAGCTTTGGCTGATTCATTTCCCAAAGCTCCAGCAAGTTTCAGGAGCACTGGGAAAGAAGTTTGGTATGCTGGTGGGAGATGGCCCCTGTGTCAAAGGGTTAGGAACAACACCGGGTTTTCCTGTTGGCACGACTGGGAGCCTGGTGGAGTGACAGGAATGGCAAAGAGGGAACAGAGGGACTGGAGGGTACCCCTCTTAGTTCACATCTCTGCCTGTGCACCCCTGCATTCCTCGCTGCACCACGGGGTCTGTCACCTTGCATGCACAACTCACTGGCTGCCTGCCACCACGTAACCGGACGCTTTCCATTTTGCTCAGCTCTGCTGATTTGGGGGGGGGGGGCGAAGGGAAAATAAGGAAATAAAGGAAAGGAGAATTGCCTAACATAATTCTAAATGGCCTTTATTCTGCTACAGCTTTCAGCCTTGTCTGATATAAACTAGAGAGAAAAAAATCCTGTCTGTGGAGTTGGTAGAAATGCCTGCTGAAACAATTGTCAAGGGAAAGCTTCAAAATTAAAAATAAGGCTCTGTACAATGGTGCTGGTGTGATCTAACTTAGCAGTTCCCATGTTGTTCAAACTGCCTGTACCAACTACTTCAGATCACCACCAACACTGAAAGCTGTAGTGGTGCGAGGTGCCCTCCACCACCGGACTGTCCTTCCAAGCTGTGCTTTTCCTCAGGGAGCAGCGGTGTCTCCTGGTTTTAATGAGGCCTTTGAATAAAAGCATCCTGATGTGTTTTCCTTCCTACAACTGCAGGGTACTCCAGGACCAATTGGGGTTTCAGGACCAGCAGGACCAAAAGGAGAAAGGGTGAGTTTGCTTCAGAACTGACTGATGCTCTGTAACTTCTCTGAAGATGTGACAGCTCTGAGGAATAGAGGAGATCTAGGCTTTTCCAGAGATGGAACTGCCCTCTCCTTGTGCATACAAGACTCTCAGCTGGGCCTCTTTGATAGTTGAGTACCTCGTCCTTGGAGGTTTTAGGTGCTTTGAATTGCATCCTTTGCTTTTTCTTCTCTAGTGCTTTGCTCCCTATTTGTACTGAGTAGGAACGTAGCAATTTCTACTCTTTTGTCTCCATTTCAGGGCAGTAAAGGAGATCCTGGAGTTACAGGACCAATGGGGCCAGCAGGGCTTCCTGTAAGTATGGGCATACAAGGGATTTATCTACAGGGCCTGTACCACTGACAGCTGAAGATGGTGCAGTAATCCAGTGTTTGCAATCACAGCTGGGTTGAGTGTAACTCCAGTTACAAACCTTTGCTCACTACGGGAGCGACAGAAAGAGCTCAAGAGCAGTGACTCAGAGGGACGAGGAGGAAGCTAGAGGGAAATTGTTAATTCACCTTGGTCCTCAAGCTACCAAAAGAAGCTGAGTGGGGCTCCCAGGATAGGTATTTTAGTCCAAAATGCTGCTTTGGAGCACATCTGCTTTCACAGCCTGGCTGGGAGAGCCCTGTCCTGTCATTGCAGGGACAAAAGCTGCCTCCAGTGAGGTTAACAAATTCCACTGTTTGGGATTGCTTTTGGAAAAACGGGGCCAGTGTTGGAACTCTAGTGTAATGTAATCATGAAGCTGCTTTGTTGCTTAACACAAAAAAGGAAGTTTGCTGCTTTTATCAGGGACTGCCTTCTCTAGACTAGTTTGTTTTTTATCTGAAGAACCCTTAGAGGAGTAGTGCTGTTACAGCCTGGATGGTCTGATGGAGCGGAGGTTGTCTGCTGGAAAAGATTTGTTTATTTGTAACATAAGTGGAAAAAAAACCCAAATCCCTGAGCACACATTCTTCTTTTTGAGTGGGAATACAGTTGGACCTACTTGTTTTAAAATATTTTATGTTGATGCATTTCAGGGTTTACAAGGTCTGCCTGGTGACAAAGGAATCCGGGTAAGTTACCAGGCAAACTTGTATTTAATTACTAACACCTTTACACAGGGACAGCCCAGTTAACTCTGAGCACCTCTAGTAGCCAGCATGTGTTTGTCTGCTAGACCTTCACACAAGTGACTTTGCATACCTGGATTTTAGAAGGTGATACCTGTAGCTTGTCCCATCACCTAGGGCATTGTGGCACATCTGTCTGAAGGCTGAAGGAGGGATTTTCTAATGTGTTCATTGCTGTCACAGCTCTGTTCTCACCAAAGCATGGGACTTCATGTGTAGTTCAGTTAGGCCAGAGTGGTGTGCTTTAGGAAATCCTACTTATCTACTTACTGATGTGTGTGAATTCCCATAAGAATTAGCTGAGGTGCAGCCACAAATCTTATTTTGGTACTTCTAAATTCCCCCTGAAGCATGAAAAAGAAGATTGTCCTCTAGCAAACACTCCTCCAGAGAATTTGGAAGATGGAAATTTGGAAAAGATAAATTAAATTTGCCTACCTTAAAGAGTCAGACATGAAATCTCTTCAGGCACTACCCTGAATAGATATGATGGTGAAGAGCTGGGTCAAAACCAGTAACATGAATGGCAGCCTTTCCATTGTTCCACCCGTGTTAATAGAAAGATAAATATTACCAAGAAGTGTATGTTGAGAAGCTCCTTCTTTTTCATCGGGTTTTCTTGCCTGTTAAAGCTCTGAATCTTTTTGATAAAGACACTTGAGAGCTCTAGTTGAATATAATTTATATTTAGAAATACAAATGACTTCTGGATTCGAGTCTTTGTAAGATAACAACTGTCTTAATGTCAAGCAGTTCAATATAGTACAAGTGTGTGTACTCACACAACTCTTCATATGACTCTGGTATCACCTGAATTTATCTGAAAATGTACATTTTGATAGTGCATGTGCCCATGTGGTGATTTCATTATATGAGTTTGCTTTTGATACATAGTGAGTCCTCCATCTGCAATGGATTTCTGACCTTATTTGCACAGAAAGGGCAGTTTTGTAAAGAAGCAGCCAACTGGCATCTTAAACTAGGGGAGAAAGGTTCAAGGGAGCCCCAAAGTTCTCCCCTTTTTTAATCATTGCATTTCTGGCTTTGCTTCTTAACTTCCTCTTCCCTAACATGTGTTTTGTTTTGTTTGTGTGGCTTCTAAACAAAAAGTAACTTTTAATTCCTAGACTTTTTCAGTTGGTTTTTAAACTGGGTGTCTTAGTTACAGAGGGATCTGTCATTAGCTGTAGATGGGATTTTTCTGAGCTCTGGCATAAAAGCAAGTGAAACTGGGAGAATTTGCAACTCCTTGTAGAGGATGAGTTTGAAAGCACAAGTGGGAGGTTGTGCTGGCCCCTTGAAATGTGCATGCACTTTGCATCACTGCAACCTGTAATTTGCAATGATGAAAAAGTTTGAGAAACTTGAGAGTGTAAATGGGCAAGTGTGATATTTTAGCAGATGGGATCCTAGAAAATACCCCTCTTCCCACTGAGTAGAGGGGATTCCCCTTACTCCTCCGAAAGTCCCAGGCAATTTGCCAAAATCCTGTCTGTTCCTTGAGGCAGAGCAGGGCTCTTTAAACCCCAGAAATGTTCCTGCTGCCCTCTGCTCTGAGTGGGAGATGAGTGTAGCTGTGCCCCGGGTTGTGGTTGTGCCCTGGATAGGGGTTGGGAACAGGCAGAGTTTTGTGTAACCCAGCTGAAAAAGTGGGACCCCTGAACTCGTGCTGCCAACCTGATGCCTTCACTCTTATTTTAATGCCTGTGTTGGTTTTTTTCTTGTGTGTATGTGCCTCTTCCTCGCTCCTACAGGTCCACCTTTGTCCCCTTTATCCCTCCGTCCTGTTCCGCCTTTCTTCCTGGTTCCTTCCCCCTTCCTCCAGAGCAACCCATGGCGCACTTTTCCTGGATTATCCTCTCCATTCCTGCACTTGGCTCTGGGTGACTTCTCCTCATTGCCTCTCCTCTCCCATCCATTTCTCTTGCCAGCTTTGGGTTTAATGCCTTTTTTTTTTTTTTTTTTTTAAGAAACAGCAGCCCATGCTGTCTGACTTTATCCCTTAATTCCTTAAACGCTCCCGACAAGTTCAGAGTTCAGTTCCCTGTGCAGCAGCCCCTTCCCCTGTTTCATGCTCAGCAGCTCTGAGGATTTTGTGTTATACGGAAAGATTTGGTATAGATGTAACTGGCAAATACCATGCTATACCCTTGTGCTGCCAGGTAAGAGGGTCAGGGAGCAGCTGCTGCCCTGTGGCTGCTCTAGTCTCTGGTCTAACAGGTTTTTTGGGAGAGCACTACTCAGAGCATCCTAAGGGGCATCCAGGTTGTATGGACTCTCAGGGCTGAGTACTTCCTTTATTCCCTGGCGGAGAGTTCTCCGAGTGAGACTTTCGTTAAGAATGAGAATTCAGAGTGGTAAGAAAAGCATCTTAGTGCCATCCCAGAGCTGGAGTGGCAGAGGAGGGACCTTCCAGCCAGCTGCAGATTGAGATGGGGTGACACACTGCTGGCCAGAGGGGTGTTTGCCCATCCTGTGTGTCTGGGGTCAGCATGTTCCCTGATGTACCTCTCTCTGGAGTGTGGGAAGCCCCAAGAAGTCCTCTGATGATCCCTTTGATGCTGAGCCCTCCCAGTCTGTCAATGTGGGACTGCAGCCACAGCCAGTGTGTTTATGCAGCTCAGTTACAGCTTAGCAGCTCTTCACTTAACATCTCAAATGGAAATTTTTTCTTCTTTTAAAATGTTTCCTAAATGTTTATCTTTTTTTTAAACTATCGCTGACATTTGTTTGAAATGGATGATCCTAAAGCTTTTGTGTATTCTTTTTTTCTCGGACTAAACTATTATTTACAGGGGGAGAGGGGCAAGAAAGGCTCTAGAGGGTCTAAAGGGGATAAGGGAGACCAAGGAGCGCCTGGATTAGATGCACCCTGTCCGTTGGTATGTTCTGTTTCATCAAATGTATTGTTTTAAGATGTGTTGATGGGGAAGACAGAAGGAAATCATAACATAAATAATGGTCTTGCAAAAGTCCAACACTTGGATAAGGCCTGGCTGTGTTCCCACCTCAGCCTGTGGCAAAGCTGCTTTCTCCAGGGGGAGAACCCCTGATCCTCTGAGTGACCACGGTTATGTTCCTTCCTCTTCCAGAGCCCACTGAGGTTTGGGGTACATGGGGGTGTCCCATGTGCTGGGAGCCCAGGGCTTTCTCCTTTGTGGATAGAGCCCTGTCTCCTTTGCTGCCAGTTGCAGCTCTTCTCTGAGATGGTCAGTGTGATCCTGTCTACGAGATGGCAAAACTGGAATGCTGGTTGCCCTGCCTTGGAATAACGGCCAGCTGATGGGATGGCCTGAGAGCACACGGGGCACTTGAGCTGCAGCACCCAGAGGAAAAACAAATCTCACTTATCCTAAATGGGATGTGTGTCTGTCAAAACAGATTGGCTACAAATCTAGGCAAATTAATAAATATAGGAACATGTGTACACTTCTATCTAAACTCATATGCTGCAGCGAATTCTGCCAAAAATCTGTAGCAGTGCCACAAATCCCAGGAGTACCTGTGGATCATGCAGCTAGAAATCCAGCTGCTGGGTTTCCTAGTGAGGATCTGAGGAAGGGATGATTCTGAAACTGAGGAAACACCGTTCCCATCCTCTCAGCTTCAGCTCAGAGAAGCATCTCCTGGCTCGCAGATCGTGGAAAACCCAAAAGGAAACTGCTGGTGCTGCTGATTATCTAAGTGTGCAGACAGCTGTGTGCTGGGTGTGCAGCAGAGTGCCCTGTGAGGGTCCTGGTGGGGGCTCGGCCGCCCCCCGTGACACGGAGCTGGCAGTGACTGAAATAACAACAGTGGTTGATTTCATGAACAGGGTCTCCGAGGTTTTAAAGGCGAGAAGGGTGAGCCGGGGTTACCTGGGCTGGACGGCCTGGATGCCCCATGCCCATTGGTATGGCCTACCTTCCCTTTCCTGCATGCTCGTTTGCTTTTTGGGTCTTGGGTGCTATTTCTGATACCTCCGAGTAGCTGCATGCCCTAGAAATACCTGGCAGCTCCTTCCTTACCTGTCTCCATCCTCCCTTCCTCACATTGCTGTTTCTAGAACCAGGCCCTTCCCTTCATGCTGTGATTCCCAGCTGCTGCCAGCACTACTTTGTGGCATGAGGAAAAATAGTGGGAATACAGATTTATTTACAACTGCTTCACTTCTTCCTTTGCCTTCCCTTTGGCAACTTCCACTAAATCAGCCTCTGCAGACCCAGCTCTGCACTGGCTTTGCTTCCTTGCAAGGAGCTGTGATGCTCGTGTCCTTCATTAACTCTATTTTTAAGTGCTTGTGTGTGGTAGGCACAGCCTGAAGTGGCTCTGTATTGCCTCAGTCAACCCCCTACAATAAGATGACTGAAAATAATAGTTATCCTGTTACCAAGCCCATGTGAAACATATTAACTGGACACTTAGCCTCCCTGCGAGATAATTCCTATTTATGACTCTCCCCAGAAGTCCAAATTGTACTCATAGTGGCAAAAAAACTTGCGTGTTTCCCAATATCCAACTTAAGTAATAACATGATTATTGTACTAGTGCCTGATCTAGCCCAAGTGCCGTAAGACAAAGGTCTGGAGGAACACTTAATCTCAACTGATTTCAAAGTGTCCCCCTAAACATCACCAATTTATTAATTTTCTCTGAGATTTTCTGAAGATGCAGTGTTCAGGTGAGGTTTTTGCTCCCTACAACAGTCTCAACATCTCCATGATACACAGAAACTACTGCCCTTCTGGCCTATTTGGCATGACAAAGTTTGCTTGAGGATGGTCGGTCTAAGCTCCCTTAAGGATGTTTGATGCCATTTACAAGGGATGGAAGATCTGTTAGTTCAGCTAGCTGGAAAAATGCGTCCCAAAGCAAAAAGCCACATTTAGTTTGGAAGGTTTTCTTAGTTCTCCCAGGGAGAAAAAAAGCTGTGAAATTGCCATCAAAAGCCTTTGTTATTTGAGCTTTGTGAAGAGCTAACCAGTTTTCCTCCCAGCACCCCCTCCGTTGGGCACTGCTGTGTCCTCTTTGGGGCACTGACTCTTGCAGTGGCCACTGGTAAAGTCTCAGTTGCTGCTCTGTAAATTCTGGGTAGTAGAAAGGAACTTGGGCCAGTCCCACAGGTGAAACCAGACCTGCCCAGAATGGCCCCCAAAGGAGAAAAACCACAGAGCCATGTGTTCTGCCTCCTGATGGTCATAGCCAGGTTACTATGGAGTAAGTTTTGGCTGAGTAAGGCACCTGATTCCCAATCCCTGTAAGGATTCCACGGGTGCCTGGCAGACCACCCCTCTGTTTGTGTCACTGCTCCCAGTGAGGATTCACCCCACATGGCCATGTTGGAACACACACTTCTTGTCATTCCTATTTTTGTTAGGGGAAACTTGCCAGAAAATCTGATGAAATACAGATGCCATTATTTTTTTATATATAGTGTTCTGGCATGCGAGCTAGCTTGGGAACGTGAATAAGCATGTTTTTGGATCCAACTAGGTTAAAAGCTTAGCATCCAGCTGACACATCCACGTATGTAACTTATGGAGGCTGTGAACTAACGCTTTGCACATCTGAGATATGTGGAAGGAGATCCTTGATGCTAATAAGCATGTCATGTTTCCGTTCTCAGCACATTCGCCTGCAACAAACACTTCCTCGTGACCCTGGTCTTCCTTTGATCCCTAAGCTGTAACTCCCTGGTCTCCCATTCCTTCATACACCTAACTTCCCATCTCCTCCTGCGCTGCACCACACCAGTCATTCCTACCACCATCAGTGTACCAATGGGAACACCGCAATATACCCAGTAATTAACTGGTAACTCCATATTTCCACATGGGGGAGAGAAGAGGAGGAAACAGCACAAGGAGACCACAGTCCAAAAAATGCATTTGAAAAGCAATACTGTTGTGGCAACGTTCAGTTCATCAGGCCCCTGAAAGTGCATCTCTGTTAAATAGTTCGTTTCTCAGTATACTACTGTGCATTTGCTTTTCTGTTTGTACTGGTTTTGGTTTTCCTGGGGAATAGTGATAGCCTATAAATGGGCCACATGGACACAGCACAAATGTTTGATTTCTCATGTCAGAGATGTATCTCCTTACCTCTGACTTCACCTCCTGCTCAAGAGCACCTTAGCACTGACATAACATCCCATTTTCTCCTGTCAAACAGGGCTTCACAGAGATTATATGAATGGCAGCCACTCACAAAAGCCTTTCCCAACCATGGGGTCTCCATCTTTTAGTTGCACGGCCCTTAAAGTGTCCAACCTTCTTCAACATTAAAAAAAAATTAAAAAATAATAATGACAACAACACACCCACCTGGGGCTGTGCGGCCCAAGACGTCAGGGTTGCAGAGGTGCTGGGGAATATTCACAGAAATCCCACTGCTGTTATTGAAGCCCAAGACGCTTTTCAGGGAGTCAGCTGAGACATCCTGAACCAGCACAGGCGCTGCCCAGCTGCTTGCCTTCCTAATTTCTCTGGAGCGGGATCTCCTCAGAGGCAAGAGGGGACAGCTGGGCAGGATCTCACATGACAAAGCAAACCCTTTAGCAAACAGGGCAGAAAGGAAATGGAGGTTTTTTATAGACCCTCCTCAGGATTAGAGGTTAGTGCTGACTCTGGGGTTTGCTTATAACCTCAGCACTACAGAGCCAAGCATTAAGACACAGACCCACCACCTCACACTTTCCACTGCCTTCCTTCCTCCTTCCTTCACGGAAGCCTGGATAAACTATTCCTTGAGGAAGAACGAGAACAAGCCTACAGACCTCATGTGCGTAAGTCCCTTGCATAGCCTGAGGCCTCTGCCCTCTTCAGCCCCAGCCCTTGCTTCAGGTTCTTTGAGCCAGAAGTCCGGGTCACTCCAAAAGGCTGAGGAATATCTCAGACTATTCCTTCAGCCCTGATTCACACTGTTTGTTGCAGCTGTTATAGTTAACCCACGTCTTCTTTCCTCCATCTCTGTACTACTGTCTGTGTCTAAACTGCTATTTCATCCATCTCTTTTTCAGGGGGAAGATGGGCTTCCAGTTCAGGGCTGCTGGAATAAGGTAAAATAATCTTGGAAATGCTGCTGTGCTGAGTTGGCAGTGCCGTGTGTTCTGCTAGTGTTTTCCAATGAGTCTGGTTAAGAGCAAAATAGGTGTGGAGGCATGGATGGGATTTCCAGGACTGTACACCTGTGCTGGTTTAAAGGTAAACCAGCAGGGGAAATGAACTCAACTAAAAGGAGAGATTATAAGTCAGAATAACAATTTAATAAAATAATACAGTAAATACAATTATACAGACAAACAGTTGGTTTTAACCCACAAAAGCCAAATGTATAACCCAGCACCCTGGGGCATGAACAGAGTGGTATTCATTGGGCCCCCTGAGTCCAAAGTAAAAGGAGAGGGAAAAACCTGTTGGTGAGGGTGCTGTTGCAGTCTGGTTGAGAGCAGTGATCTGCAGTCTTCCTCTGGATCCCACGAGTGGTTAAAAAAGACCCAAGACTCCAAGGTTATATGTCCTCCAGTTCAGGCAGGAATGCCCAGTACCTCCCTCAGGGCAGGGAGTTCCACAATGGGTGCGAGGAAAGGAGCATCCTCCTGTCTCGAAGGCCTCTTAACACCCAGTTTACAGCCTGAGGAGTCAGGCTGCTCTGGGCAGAGGGTGTAAATGGTCTATTGATAACAGTTTTTGGGAAATGGCATGGAAGGCTATAGAATACACAGTTTTGGGTTACACCCATCCAGTGATGAACTGGTCCCAGCTGTTCTAACTAGGACAACAGCTGAAAAGCAGCAACCAAAACTCCTTGTTTGCGTATCACGGTACAGCTCTATCTGCTACAAAGGAGAGAACTATATGTGTGGCCTTTGAGCTGCCTGGCCCCAAAGTGCTCTAATCCTTACACAAAGATGAGATTTCCACATGGATTCCCTCAGACCCCCTGGGGTCTGGCCCACCTTCAGCACCTGTTGTGGGTGTAAATGCCAGGTTCTCAAGCTGCAATGGTGGGAAGATGGTGGAGGCAGTGTCAGCCCAAGCTGAACCTCCCACCCTTACTCAGGGAAGTGGATCCCTGCTGAGACTCCCATTGCTATTCCTTCTGGAGCCAGCTTCTCTAATGCTGTCTTTCCCTCCACGCCCTGTGAGCTGGCATTAACACTTGGTATTGAGTTGTCACTAACACTCGTTTATGTTTTCTTTTGCAGTGATGATTCTAACCTGGACTGGCCTGTGTGTGTTACTGTACATAGGATATTTATTTTTATACAGTGTTCTTCTCCAAAATGCCAAAAGTTATGCATTTTTACAAATTATCAAAAAGCTGCATATTTTTTTGTACAGAAAATACTAGATTTTTTCCCCCCGTTTGTCAGTTCTCTGTATGATTCTATGTCTGCATTATGCTTGTTTTGTCATGGAGTACAGCTGTAATATTTACATGATACTTGTGCACACATGATGAATATAGGAACTTAATAAATTATTACATTAAAGATGCCCGAAGGAACTGCCCTGTATAGATTTAAAGGTCATTTTCATTTTCCAAGCTGGGTCATTCAAGAATATTTCAAAATATTATGTATTTTTTATTAAAGTGAAATATAAACAGTTTTGTTGTGACTGAATTAAAGTGTTGCTGAAAAACCTGCTGGTAGTCACCGTGCACTGGGAACGTAAAGACTCCGTGATTTATAATTATCCTCCCATGGGCTGGAATAACGCTCATGACAATGAGCCCTGGCTGGCAAGAAATTCTAACCCCTTTCTAAATTGTAGGCGTGCAAGTAGCTCAGTGAAAACCTCATTTAAAATTAAGCATAATGCAGCATTCCTCGATGATGTCCTAATGAATGTTTGTTAGAGAAATCAATCCACGTGGCTTTTCAAAACATTAACCAAAGGTCACATGCAGATTTGCAGTGTGCCATTACAATTTGCATCTGTACATCTTAATTATCCGTCCTGACCTACCCTTGTTGATGTCTCAAGTCTAAACTACCCAGAGAGGAAAGTACTACCAGGCTAAAGTGACTATCGCAATATGCTTTCCTTGGAAAATGAGTAAAAGCCTAAATCCATTCCCTAAAACATGTCCACTGGCACTGGCCCTTCACGTAGGGGGAAAGGCAGTGGGCAACCCAGGAGATTCAGGGGGAAGCCACCATGTTTAACGATCCCAAGGGAGAAATGTGAGTGGTGGTTCATTAGTGAGCCTGATCCACTCAAGTCCTGCTCTTTGCATGATGCTGCCACTGAGACAGGAGTTGGGCTTCTCCTGGCTGCGGCTGTGCCAGCTGGAGTGGTCCCCACCACCACCCCTTCTTACTCGGCTACACTGCTCAATTATTCATCTGTTCATAAACCATTCGTTAGTTATTTTCCAGATGATTCCATACAGTCTTTTAGCACCATCAGAGTCAAGTGATGGGGCATAAGGGATGTCCTTCCCTGGTACACAGGGACTGCCCAAGGAACCCGGCGCAGGCCCTGACTGCCGCAACCCATCCGTCACCTCACCCTTTCAGAAATTTATTGAATTTCATCTAAAAACCAGTGAGGTTTCTCTGCCTGTGTCCCCTCCCTCCCCACCCCGCAGGCTGTTCCGACTCAAGTGCTCTCGCGGTTAAGAAATTCCTTGCAACTTTCAACCTAAACTAATTCATGGTATTTACAACCATTTCTTCTCATGCCAACATTGTCCTTGGGATGGAACTTTTCCATGCATGATGTTTTCATGAGATGCTTGGGGTACTGGAGCTGAAATGGCACAGAAGGAAAATGAACCACAGAGCCATGAGGGATTCTTGTTGGTTTTCTCAGTAATAGCTATCGTTAATATAAGCCCCAGCTCCCTGTTACAAGGCTTTGCAGCTGTGGAGCTGAGCTAATTGGAACAGCCAGTGTTCCAGTCGTGTTTTAATTGCTCACCTGTTAAACAAAGCAATTCCTAAAGACCCAGATGGGTGCCTTGGGGGTGCTTTGGGTTTGGGAGTTTGTAGCAGCAGTGAATTTCTACTCTGATCTTGAAGCATTCAGCTGCAAGGTAGAATGTTTGAATGCTTCTAAAAATGCTGGCTATCCTTAATCCTCGAAAACTTACAGATCCCTAAGAGAACCTGCCAATGCTTCCTGTCCCCTTTGGTCTCTGTAGAGTGTTTTTATTTTGTAGCTGGTATTTGTGATTGCACTGCATGGAGTTGTTGTTGCTTGGTTTTATCTGATCCAAAAGCAAAGTGCACGTCTGTAACGTTGCCCTGGCACAGCTACTGAAAGGTCAAGGACTTCTGAGGTGATACTGTACCTGTTTTATTTCTTGAGCTGTTTTTTGGCTGATACATTTGCGAGAAAGCTCTTGCCTGAGGTGCAGGAGGCCTTGAAATGTAGTTGCCAGAACTCTTGAAAGTACCTGACTTGGGTCAGCAAAGACTTATCTGTTTCTGGGGGAAATGTGTAAGGCGCCCACTCACCTGTCCTAAAGGTGGGAACGTGGTGGCAAATGTTCCCTGCGGTTGCTGCAGCCACAGCCTGGGTTTTTAACTGAAGTAGATGAGTGAACATTTTGGATTGCTCTTCCTACAGCCCTCATACTAACACAATCTCATCAGCCACTGGGATAGACCGAGGGTCAGTGACACCACACTGATCCGCTGCTCTTCCCAAACCAGAGCACTTTGCATGTCAAGAGAAACCCAAACGGTGGCAGCGGGGTTTGCACCACCCTGAGTGTGACAGTTTCCTTTCAGAGTCTGTCCCTACTAAAACCTGTAACCTGATTACTGTTGATTCTGCCTGGCTGTTTTCACATGAAACACTTTGTCTGCCACTTCAAGGGTCAAACTCCTTGGCTGATAGCCAGAAAGTGAGTCTGAGGGTGGAGAAGCTTGAGAAATGGCAGCAGAGTGAAAGGAGAAGGAGGACCTTCCTGAAGATTTGCTGGAGATGTTTTGCAAGTTGCCTCCCTGGAGCCTGGGAAGAGTTGTTGAGCTGCGCACCAGGAATGTGCCTGCTTGAGGCTGCGGGAGCTCGGCATGCCAGCGCTTTCTGCTTTGCTCTCTCTTCTCCCAGAGGCCAGAGGCAGGGGTCGAAAATGACACCATTTGTATTCTTTTCCTTTGGTCATTTTCGCTTCATTCGACTTTTGTGGTCAGACTCTTCAGATGAAGAATTAAGCTCGTTTTCCAGCAGCGGCTGCATAAATGAGTGCAAGACATAGACAATATTTCGGGGGAGGGGGGGAGGGGGGGAATCCTTTGATCTGAGAGAAATCTTTCTTGAACGATTCTCTTTAGGAGAAGCAGAGAACCCCCCGTGTTCAGCTCAGAGTGCTGCTCAGAGAGGACACGATCACACTTTTTGCTTTCGTTTCTGGTTACCAGGTGACAGACTTCCACCTGTATCACTGATGATTCCATCTTTAACCTTTTCATCACAAACTTTCTTCTCCTGTGAAATTATAAGGAAATGACATTGTTTTTTGAGTATTTTTTTTAACTGCTCTGGATTTTGAAGGCATGAACTATGTGTTCAAAGGAGGCAAATGTGGAGTGTGGAAAAAGTCTGGTTTCACTGACTAATTCCTTTGCTTCCTGTACTTGTGCTTTGGTCTCCACTGCACACACTGGATGTACTTTGCCTGGAGCCCTCCAGAAATGTTTTCTGCTGGCCCATTAAGGCCCTTTTGTGGGTATCTCTCCGCAGACGTACTTCCAGATGGAAAATAAGGATCACAGAGGTTCAATTCCACTGTTACATGTTTTAATACATTCACTGAAGGGAAATAAAGATTTGGCAAAGTACTGAGGGCTTCGGAGGATGTTTCCCAGCTGCCTGAAGGGCAGAATATACAATCCTGGATACCTCCTACCAACTGCAAACCTGGCATGCCTTCCTCAGCCCCTGCTGCTGAAGATTAAATTCTGTTCACATGTAAGCTCTAGTGTCTTGCCTCCACAGCTCTTGCAATTTATTAAAAAACCCCAAACCTAAAATAAATAATTAAGTATGTATCTTATGAACATGACTCATAACATTGCTACTTCCCTGAGTGCATTGGGAATCCCGTTTGCCCAAGCACTAAAACACACATTTAACTTTGAGCCCGTGATTCCCGCTGGCCTAAATGATGCCATTTGCATACTGAAGTACTCTGGTGAGCCAGGGCCATTGTTATTAGAGCTAATGAATGATGTTATCTGAGTCATTAGGCAGAATTAAACGATAAGCAATTCATGTTGCAGTTCAGAAAGAAAGAGCTGATTTCAAGCTCAAAGGGATGTATTTAAACCAGAGCAATCCCAGATTCGAACGTCCTTTGTTAGCACTGGAGTCATCCTGACCTTCTGATAAGGACACCTGTACCTGACACCCACCTCCTCCTGCCAACGCACAGGAAGTCTACTGTTAAAATAATTCCAGGTTTACAAAGATTGGGGGGGGAAGTCCTACTTTCAGTTTCATCTGAAGAATTGCAGGGTTTTTTCTTAAGGCTTCTAACGGATGTATTCAGTGCATAGAGTAACAGGGGAAGAAATTGTTTCAGTTAGGAACCAGACTGGTGGAAAGGTTAATTTATTTTATTTGTATTTTTTTTATTTTTACTTTTTCTGGGGGGGAGGGGGTTGGAGGGAGAACCTGACCAGAACTGCAGGCGGTAGGTGTGCTTTTTTTCCTTCTTTTTTATTGAAAACATTTATATATATAATTTGATAATGTTACTTTTACTGTTCTTTTTATTAATGATTTTTTGGGGCAATTTGTTTGCTCTGTTGTGTTTTCTTCTAGGTATATTTTTAATGGGCTTTTAGAATAAGTGTGTAAAAGTTCCTCACCGAAAACGTCCTAAGGACATTTCTATCGTCTTTTTTTTTCTCCCTAAGTTCAGTAGTAAAATGGTGCTTTCCACAGGCAAAACAGTTTTCAGTGGGGGTAAACATATTCCCACAGGCCACACCGAGGGACCAGGTACCAGTGACCTCTCCCAGACAAAACAGCTCTCTCCACACTCTCCATTTACATTTACAAAGATGAAAAGGGCTATGTGAGGGACCAGCCGACTGGAAATGGTCCCTTCCCACCTCGGGGGTCTGTCGGGAAGCAGCTGGTCTAGCAAGAGCCGCTGTGTCCCCTTCAGCTGCATTCTACAGCCGGGCTAGAAAGCTCGTTAAAATTAAATTAAAAAGTCATGTTTATTTGAAGATGGCAAGTTCTTGGAGGGTACCTGCTATGGTATTGCTGTCTCTTGTTATTGTTTTCCCTCCTCGGAATCCAGCAACACACTCAGGCTCCAGCTTAGCTTTAGGCTGTGCTTCACCCTGAGTCTATCTGCAAATGCTTTGCTGGATGAGGGTCTCCCCTTCTTTTCCATATTTTTTTGTGGGTTTTTTTCCCCCTTCTCTTGTTTGTGTCCCTATTGCTTCCAGATGTTTTTGTCCTGGACAAAGTAGTTTCCTCCCTCCTACATTTTCAGAAAATCTCTGTTGGTCGCATTTTGATCATTTTCCACTCACTGTTATTATCAATCCTTCTGCCCTCCGTGTAGGCCTGCTTTGTTAAACATTTTGATCTGATGGGAACGTCATGGCAAAACATGAATTAAGATTGTAGATGTTTGTTGATATTTTTTAGAGTTGACTGTAAAGCTTCTACCGTTTAAAACACACGGCAGCAAAACCAGTGTAGCTCTGTAGCTTTCTTATGATCTCTGGTTTTTTTTTTGAACAGACTCATTCTGAGTCCGAATCTTGCAAATTTTTTTTTTCACGAAAAACCTGCTAAACTTCTGTTTTTCCTGCAAAACGTGAGTTTGTTGAACTGCTGTTGCAAGGTTTAGTAGGTTAGACATTGATGACAGGTATGAGAGGACTGGTTGTGGAGCCTGTGGAGTGCAACTTACACGCTTGCTTTCCATTGTACGCTGTTTGTTGGTCTGTTGTCTCTGGTGGGGGTTTGCTGGGAGTGTGAAATTCCATTTTGTGATAATTCCATTGGGGTTTTTTTCCCACATTTGTGTTTCAAAGTGTTGCTTCAGTAAATCTTCCCTTTTGCTCTCCTGCAAAGATTTGCATTTACCCTGATGTTGCACCCCGCCAGCAGTGCCACAGACCGAGCAGTTTCACCCGTGTTTTGAGCCTTCCAAAGGAAGTGTGTCATCTCCCTTAACTCCACAGCCTTTTCTGCAGCGGGATGATGTCCATGAAAAGGAGAGAGGCAGCAAGACTGTGCAGGCCACCATAAGGAGACTCCTTTTCTGAGCCTGGTCCCTCACCATTCACTCATGACCTGCCCCATTACCACTCCCTTCGCTGTGTTATTGTTCTCCCTCACCAGTCAAAGGCAGAGAAAACATTGTCATGGTCATGTTCAGCCCAGCCCCAGAAGGACTGAGGTGACCCCCTGGATGCAGGGAGGAGCCATTCTCATGGCTCCAGATGTTGGGCAGTGCAGGGATGGGAGGGAGTTCCTGATCCTGGGGGATGGCCTGCAGATGTCACGGGCTCTCCCGCTGGCAGTGCCCGAGTTCCAGGCCACACTCCCACTGCGTGTGTGGAGGTATTGCTCCTGATGCCCTGGCTTGCAGGAGTGTCCCCCATCCAGGGCAGTTCGTTTCACCAAGAAGTCAAGTTGTTGACCCTTGACAGGGTCCTCAGAGCGACAGAAAACCCCTCCCTGATTCCGCCTAGAATGCTTGTGTCACTGGCACTGCTCCTGTTTCTCGTCTGTACATCAGTTGGACACCAAATTGACCTAATCCCTGCAGGAGAATGATTTCTGAAGCAACTTTATGTTGTTACATATCTGGTTTCCTTGAATTTTACAACAGAGATTTTACTTTTGTTTTCCCTTTGGTGGCATAGACTGTAGAATATTTATTATAGCTGTAGTAAAGTGATGATTTATGAGTAGACCTTGACAGGGCATTGTTTCTGTATTTCTGTTACAAACACTGATTAATTAAGATGTTTAAATCTGAATACACTTTTTACACTTTTTTTTTTGTTGTTTTTACATTGATGAACTTTTCAGCCTGTGTATTGAATATCCGGTGTTATTTGGCATTCATTAATGTGTGTGCTGTGTATACTTTGTGTTACCAGGAATTTTTACTGTCATTGTGCTGTTTCTAAGACATTGTTTCAACTCCTTTTGACATAGTTTAGCTATTTGGAATTTTTTGGCCTTCCAGACAATTCTACACTAAGTAATTGCTAGAATGAAGAGAACAAAGGGCTGTTCTCTCCCACAAGCTTTTCAACCTCAGCAGGAGCTTCTTCAGCCAAAATGAGCATTTGATTTTCTTCTTTCACTTTTTCCTTGTTAATATGACAACATTCTTTTGTTTTGGTTTTCAATCCTGGGAATTCTGAATTCCATATTGGCCATTTCTAGCAATATTTTAGAAAAACAGAGATAGCTGTGCCATAAGGAGTTACTGATCATAACAGAATTGAAATACTGTAATTATTTTGGGGTTGTTAGTAGGTATTTTTTCCACTATTAAGTTTTTAAGCAAATCTTTTTACAGTGTGATAAAATATTAAAAAGACACTAAAGGACTAAGCACTCAACATGAGGAAGGGGATTCAGGTAAATGATTTCCATCCATATGAATGAAAAATAGCTTAGGAATTTTAATGTCAGAACAAATGCTGGGCTTCAGTTACCCATCTCCTGTGTCCATTAATTAATCCAGTGATTTCAATGAAACCACACCTGGCCTGGAAACTAAGGGCACACTTACAGGACTCACTGAGTCACTCCTCAGTAGAGTGATTTATCAGATAAAGAAACTAGTGCTGATGTTGTTCAGAGGTGCTGGTTTATACTGTGATAAAAACTGCTCCGCAGAGCTGTATGTTGCTATTTTAAATACCTCAGCCTAGTAATGACATCAGGAGAACAAAGATTCCAGGAGCAAGTTAGTTTGGGGAATGGACTTTTGGAAAATCAAAGGAGGGCTAAAAAACAAGAAGGAGGCAACAAAAAATGTCTCTGGCTGGGTAGTTGTTGTAATGGTAAACATAATATGTGAAGTGTCATCCTATTGTTTTCCAAGAGGAGTCTGATGAATTGCCCGTGCCTTCTGTTGAAGCTTTACTCCTTTGTGTCAATGTTTTAGTGAGGTTTCTGTTTTAATTTATAAATTAAATACATACATACATATTCCAGTACAGTCTGCATTTGTTACCTGTGATGTACATACCTTCTTCTCCCTTTTATAAAAATCCCTGTTTATGTACAACTAGTTTCTGTCTTTTGTAAATGACACCGCATGCAGATCCATAACCCATAAATGCACATACAGGTGAATTCACTTCCCATTCGGGGTTTTAGGCTCATATCCTGAGACAACCGCGCCATCTGCTGTTTGCCACCAGGCCCGGGAACTATGGAACTCGGTGGGAAATGTCAACCGATTCAGCAGGGCAGAATTCTCCAAAGCACTGTTGTCACTATGAAACTGGACAGCTGGAGAGAGGACAGAGTCCTTCCCAGTGCCTGGGCAAAGGGAAAGGCAGCAACCCCAGCCGAGACACAGTGCTGGACGCTGGGGAATGTGCTTGGGAGAAAGGCAGCCTGAGCCCTCCCATGGCATGAACAGCCTTACTGGAGCCTACTCTTACAGTGCTAATTAATCAGTCATAAAACACAAAGCCACACTAACAGTGGAACTGAGAGGGCAGGGGCAAAGAGGGGAGAGAGGGAAGACCAGAGGAAAGTAGAGACCGACTCTCTAGTCATGCCCACACTAAAATGATCATAATTATCAGCCGTGGGTGTTGTCTGTCTTTCCTCAAAGCAGATAGAACCAAAGAGAAGGTGTCCATCCATCTCTGCGTTGCCCTCGGCTTAGGTGTACCTCCCCTCCCCCCTCCTGCTCTCCTGTGCGCCCGGGTGTGTATCTGTGTGAGCCCAAATCACAGCGGTGGTTCCTGGGAATGAAAGCCATGTGCTGAACAACCATTAGCTCCTGAGCAGACAGCAAAAGTGTGTGCTTTGCTCCTGACCTCCTCTGGGTACAGATACAATGAGCCTTGGAGCGCAAGGCAAAACCCTCAAGGATCTGGATGTTTAGCAGTGACTGATGCATCAAGTTCTTTAGGAAAACGGACATGTTTCGATGCTCCAGCTTGGAACGGAGAATGTGTTTGAAACCTATGGCTTTTATCATTCCTGAAGGCTTCAAGGTCACTCTTGCTTTATAAAAATGATGGCTCCTGGATGTGTATTGCTGTACCCTGGGAGAGTAGTGAAATCTTGCACTGGTGTGATAAATAAATGTTCTGGAGGTTTGCTGTGTGCTGCCTCAGACCCAAGGGTAGGCTTGTTTCAAGGCATTTTCATTTATTTATATGTCACAGTTGAGATTTTTTTTCCCCCCCCTAAGGGCTCTGCAGTTAGCAGGAAAAGTAGTTAATGAAGTAAATTGTCTCGTTTTAAATCAAACTCAGGATCAATTATGAAAGCAGACAAACAAGCAGTGCTGTGCAGTCCTGGCCTGTGAAGCTTCTCTGAAAAGAACTTGGAGCTTAATGGTCCCATCCAGGGAGACGATGTGCTTGTTTGTGCCACCAGAGGAGAAAGGAAATGTGTGTCACTGCTCCAAACCACACCAAAGAGTGTAACTGCGAGGGGACAGACATCTCTGCTGGCACAGGAAAATCGATCAGATATAAGACCCCTTTGCAACAACTGTGAGAAGCAGGAAATATGATATATTTCGTATGTGAAATGCCAGTTTGCTAAGGATGTCCCCTGCAGTACAGACCTGGAGTTTCCATAATTCTGAAAGATATATTTGTAAATCTCCATTAGACCAAAAAAAAAAAAAAGTCATGATTATTGTGAATAAACATGACTCAGATATTTGTATTTGATTAATATTTTTACTTACATGACTAAGGAATAATTAAGACAATGATCTCTGCAGTCTGCATTGCTGCATTTAAGGACAAGTAGCAAGGATTAAAACCTGCTTTTAAATAACAAGGATGAAAACGCATTTTTGATATCTTTTTAAGCTAATAACCAGCATTAAACCTTTAGAATCAGTTGGTGTTTGGGCAGGAAGGACCTCTCTCATTGCTTACACGTTATAACTAATCTGTGACTGCAGCTAGTGAGCCTACTTTATACACCATATGTTAGAATCTGACACACACACAAATGTTAAATTCTGAAGGATGTGGGATGGTCTAACTTAAAAAATGCTACTTAAAAGAGAGTTCTCCAGAAAGCTGGGATTTAGCTTTTCTGGCTCGTTGTGCCCAACCTAGCAGCATAACAACCCCATAAGCAGCATGGAGGGTGGAGGAAGGGTTAAAAAGGGCTCAAAGAACTCCTTACAGAAGTACAGAGTATTTGCAGAACTTGGTTATTACATCTGTGCTCTGCTGCTACAATATTGACACACATCAGCTTTGATCGTGTTTGGTTATCCCAATGACAGGGCAGCTCTTACTCCGGTTGATCAAATTCCTGGATTATATACTCCCTTGAAACAGAGCTTTTGGAGCACTTGACGTTCCTGCCCTGCCAGGGCGACCCTGGACACCTGCCAGCCTGAGCGAGAGTGAAGCTGTAACTCCTGGTGCCAGAGCTATGAAATATTCATTGCAGTGTTTGAGATGTAACAGCTTCTGGCCCAAAACGAGAGTGCCATAAACAGGCTGGTTCTCCCATAGCTGGGGAGTCAGGCAGCCAGCGCTCTATAAATGCTCCTCCGATGGATCTGTTGTTTATTTTGACAAAGTAACAGATTGTATTTGCGCTCGGAAGGCAACCGGCAGATGGTCTTTGCACAACCTCGTGAGGGCAGGCCCCGCTCCTGCTGAGTGGGGAAAGCTCTTCAATCGGGTGCTGCGCGTTTTTCCCTCGCACAATGTTAGTTAGTAACAGTTCTTCCCTGAACATCCACGGATAAATGGCCACAACACACAGCTACTGTGACCAAAAAATAGGTCTATTAGCTGCTGGTTCCAAAAGTGTGGTTACTGCAGAGCAGTTCACACGTGTGGTAACTCTCTCCAAATGCTGCCTTGGTCTGATCTGCTAAAAAAATTCTTTATTCTAGTGTCACAAAGCAACTGAGAATATTCCAGAAACACTTGAAGCAACAAAAAACATCCATATAATCCTGTTAATATTTAGGTTAAGGATAGAGGCTGTACCCACTGGAGAAATAAGAGGGGAAACTGAGTTTATGGGACTATTACAAATCATAACAGTAGGAAAACTGGTCTATAACTGCAGACATCTATGACTGACTTAAAGATAAAAACTGTTATATTGTGAAAATCCTTTATGTCCTCTCTCACACTTCTCCAGAATTCCCGTTTCCTTATGGGGAATGTTGTTTATAAACAGAAAAATGTTGCTGTAAACAGAGTGAGTTGTCCTAATGTCGAAAGTTTGCCTCACATAAAGACTTTTTTTTTTCCTTGAAAGGCCTCCCACACATTTGTGTTCTTATCACACAGCAACTATTTGATGTTAAACTGGGAATGTTTTCAAAAACTTGGGATGCTTATTTTGCCTCATCTCAAATTATTTTTGATTACAAAGCTATGTATCATGCATGATTGTGAGGGTTATTGGATGCAATTATTTGTATCTGGAAATAAGACAAATGTAAATGCTTTACTTCCTTCTTCACATGGGTTTTATGTTGTCATTTATTTTTATGCTTAGTGCTTGAAAATCTTCTTCAGATTCCTCCTGCCCTCCCAGCATGGTTCAGTACACTGACAAGTCTTACAGGTACCTTTTTCCTTTGCTAAATTCCAAGCCTCACCAGGGAAGATCCAGGTAAGACTTTCCATTACCCGTAAAATAAAAGTCACTCACACATGTGAGGTTTTTCTCTTATGATTTCAAAGCACCTTGACCTTGTTTTCAAAAAGAATTGGGGAATAGACTCCAAAGCATTAATCCACAGAAATGTGTTAAAGCTCTTACTCATTGCTTAAAAAGAGGCAAGATATTTTTATTTCAATTTTAATGACAGTCAAAATACAGCTGTGTGTATGAAATGCCTTACTCAAGGTCACAGAGTAGCCCAGGAAAACACAGGTCCTCACCTCATGCCCTTTTTCTTCAGGGGGTGGTGCAATCCACAATTAATATAACCTGAGGGAATATTCCATTGCTTCTTTTCCCCACCAAATCCAATTCCATACAGACCCAAAATTGTTTACTTTGGCAGAGCCAAAAACCAGACTCCAGCGAACCTGTATGATTTTTTTACAGCAACAAAGGGAAAGCTGAAACCATGGATGACTCTTTATCACTCTGTTGTTCCCAGACACCCTCCTGAAGTAACACCGCGGGCTGGAGTGGTCTGGGTTAATAATGTATCTCCTAGTGCATTACAGTAGCCCTCAAATGTCTTTATTGTGAAATTGGTGCAACGACACAAAGTATTTGTATAGGCATGATGATATAAACCCAGCTTCATACAACAATGTACCTGAGTTAGAGGTAACCTGCACTCTTCTGTCCGCACCATCCCGTGCTCACGGATTTGGCGCTGCCAAGGCTCGTAACACAATCGCTTATTGCGTCTCTCGGAGTTCAAGCTCCTGAATCCGTGTGACTGCGGGGAAGAAAAGCAAAGCCCTCAGCTTTCGTTCGGAAGGGAAGTTTGCAGCCCCCGTGGATGAGTTGGAAAGCCTGCGAGAGCCCGGAACGCCAGACGACACAAAGAGCCGCCGACACTCTTTGTTACGGCCGTTCCCAGCCAGCTTGGGGATGCTGGAATATTTGGGCTGGAGGCACCGTGGCGAGGCACGCAGGTCACCTTGCTAAAGGGACAGAGGGACGGGTGGCTCCCTGTAACAAAAAACAGGCAACTCACGAGCTTTAGCCCAAGCTGGGGTTGCCTTGAAACCTCTCCCGTCTCCAAACTCCCCCACCCTGGGAAAGGATGGGAAGGCTTTCTGCCTTTATGCTCCCGACCGCCACAAGCCCACCGGGACCGGCGCCAAGGGGACCCTTTCCCCGCTGGGCGGGGAGGGGGTTCCTGCCCCCGCTGCAGCCCTGGGGCCCGGGCAAGGAGGGCGGCAGCCGACAGAGGGGGGTTGTTGCGGGCCCGGGCTGCAGTGACTCCTCCTAGAGGCGGTATGTGCGGAGCGGGAGGAAGCCCCTGCCGCCCCCCTCAGCAGCAGCCGCCATCGCCATCGGAACATACAATACGGGCAGAGCTGCCGAGGCGGAGCGAGGGCGGGGGGAGCCCGACAGGGAGAGTGGGGAGGGCGGGCGAGGGGGGGCAAGGAGAGGAGGAAAAGAGGGGGAGGAAAAAGAGGAAGGGAGAAGAAGAAGGAGGAGGAGGCGGCGACGGCGGCGGCAGGTGAGGGGAGCGGCGGCGCGGGGGCTCCGGGGGCCGCGGCGAGGCCGGCCCTGCTCCTCTCCTTCCCCCTCTGCCCGGCCGCACGACCCACCTCCTCCTCCTCCTCCTCCTCTTCCTCCTCTTCCTCCTTCTCTTCCCGCCGCCGCCGATGCCTTTCTTCGGGAAGGTCCGGCCGGGGCCGTGAGGGGAGGGGGGGGGGCGGCCGTGAGGGGGGCGGGGGTCGCGAGGCGGCGGCGCGCGGGGCCGGCCCCGGGGAGGGTGTGGGTGTGTGTGTGTGTGTGTGTGTGTGGGGACGGGGGGACGAGTGGGCGGCTCTTCCTCGCTCGCTGCCTCCTCTTCGCCCCCGCCGCGCTTCCCGTGTCGAGGCCGCGCCGCCGCCGCCCCTCAGCGGGGCAGCGGGCGAAGCCTCGGCGGCGGCGGCGAACGCTGAGGGCGGGGAGGGGGCGTGGGGGGGGAGCGTTTGCGCGGGAAAGCCGCGGCCACACCCCCCGCACCACACCCCGCCGCGCCCCAGCGCGCCTGCGCGCCCGGGCGGCACCGCCCGCCCCTCGCCCGTCCATCAAGCGGCTCGCGGCCAATCAGCGCGCTTCCCCCGTGGCCCGGGCTGCGGCAGCGGCCAATCAGCGCGGGAGTGGGCGGGGCGGTGGTGTCTGGGCAACGTCGAGGCGCGGGCGGGCCCAGAGGGGCGCGGGGCGGGCTCTGAGGAGGAACGGGGAGTTCTCCTGGTTCGGCTGCGCTGAGCCAACTCCGGACTCTCGGTCTGGGTCTCAGTAGCCGGGCCCATCCCCTCAGCCGCTGTGCTTTGTGAGGGGGAGCTGCCCAGGCAGGGCCACCGGTGTTTGGGGTGCTCGGGAAGCTGCTTTCGCAGGAACGCGCTCTGTGCCTGGTCCTGGGGTCCGGGGGATACCTCGCCTGCCCGCTGCACAGCGCTGTGTTTGTGCCCGGCGTGTGCCTCACCGAGGGCATTCGCGTAACCAGCACCTGCTCTGGGGCTCCTGGATTATTTTTCACAAGTGTCTTGTGTGTATATGAGTGTGCAGCCGAAGTTGGCCCGTGATAAAACGTTTGTGGGTTCCTTGTCAGCTCGTAACTGTTCTAGTAGACCTTTGTCTGGAGATGAGGACAGTGCAAGTGTGTTGATAGTCCCACGTGTCCTTTGTTTCAGTCTTTGCCTGCTGAGTTCGAGCTCTCTCGGTGTTTGGAAGTCAAGATGCTCCGAGGGCTGGAGCCCCTCTGCTCTGGAGCCAGGCTGGGAGAGATGGGGGTGTTCATCTGGAGAAGAGAAGGATCCAGGGAGACCTTATTGCAGCCTTCCAGTACTTGAATAAAAAAGAGAAAGAGAGACTTTTTACATGGGCAGGGCAAAGGGGAATGGTTTTAAACTAAAAGAGATTTACATTAGATATACGGAAGAAATTCTTCCCTGTGAGGGTGCTGAGGCCCTGGCACAAGTTTCCAAGAGAAGCTGTGGCTGCCCCATCCCTGGAAGTGTCCAAGGCCAGGTTGGACAGGGCTTGGAGCAACCTAGTCTAGTGGAAGATGTCCCAGCCCATGGCAGGGGGTGGAATGGGATGATCTTTAAGGTTCCTTCCAATCCAAACCATTCTGTGATTCTAAGTACTGCCAGCCTGGTTCTGCAAACCACTCTGCTGTTCTGGGGTAACAGCTGTTAAATAACAGCCAAATGTTTTCAATCCCTCTTGGGAAATCCTGCATCACCTGTGTAAAATCCATTTGGCTATTTAAAAACAAAAAGCAATTCCTGCTCCTCAGAATTTACTGTTCTCCACCAGTGCTGCAAGAGTTTTGGTGCTACATTGTTCAAACTAATCTTTCTTTTACTGTTGTCTGTGGTTTTTCTTAGAGAAAAATTTAGATTTGGTGTCTCTTAGGCATTTTGTACAGCACTGAACTCTCTGATGTGAGTCCCTGCTTTCTGGCCCCATCTTGACACGCTAATTTCTGAAATTGTTTTCTGGCCAAGTCCAGTTTTTTTTTTTGAGGGTTTCATCTGCTTCTGTGTCAAAAAGTTGTTCATATTTTCCAAAAGTTATATGTGCTTTTCCTGTCCAAAGATGATTATGAGAGTTTGTTCTTCAGACTCTCAAACCTGTGTAGGACGGACAGAAATGTGGCTGTGGTAAAGCTTGGTCCACTGGGATGTGGTGTGAGATGCAGATGGCACAATGGTGAGAGGAATATCCCAGGGCAGTCTGTCATCTCAGTGTCCTTGTGGAGCAGTCCTCGCCCTCTGCTGACAACTGTGGTGGGAGAAAAGAGGGTGGTCACGTCTGCAGAGGAGGGACCCTACAAGGGGCCAAAGCAGACCTACCTGAGAGAGGTGAGGAGACAGAGCTCTCTCCAGCAGGCAAAAGAAAAATGTCACTGGTTGTCTGGGCTCTGAAGAAGGTAAAACTCAACAGATGAACGCCCAGCTTGCAGAAGTCTACCCTGTTTCCATCACAGAGAGCTCTGGGAGATGTGGTAGCTGCTCAATCCCCCGTAGCAACACAGGGATGTTGGAGTCATGGCAGAGTAGGAGTGTGCTGTGACCAATTAAGGGATTGGGAAAATTAATCGCTTTAAATTGCCCAGGCCTCGTGATGTCATGGTAGCCAGATACAGACTCTTCCAGCTCAGCGAGGACGGACTTTACACGAACGGCACAGGCGTATCTTTAAATGGAGGCTGTGCTTTGTGAGGACAAACGTAGAGATGATGAATCAGCTGGCACAGAGGGAATTCATGTGGGTAGACTCGAGAGCTTTTCAAATGAGAAGCCCTTGAGGCTTGGCTGTGTCATCAGAAGAGAATAATTAGGATGGCAGTGCCCAACTTGTAGCTCTTTACCTGTTGGTTGCCGTCCAGGTGAGTGCCCTACCTAACTGTGGCAGGGCTGAGCTCAGGGTCATCCTCCAAGGTGATGGTGCTGCAAAGGAAACCAAACCCTTGCCTGTGGGATTCCTTTGTCCAGGTCCACAGGAGCTGATGTGCACATTTCTTTGTCCAGGTCCACAGAAGCTGATGTGACTATGCCATAGCTTGGCTTTCTACCAAAAAATTGCCTCCTGTAGGATTCAAGACAAGAACACAGTGTTGTCTGTATTGCTCCTCAGTGTACCCTGGTCCACGTTAAGTTGCAAAGAAGAGAGAGAGAGAGAGAGAGAGAGACAGTGCTAGCAGAGTTTTGAAACCTCTTTTGTATTTACAAATGTATCTCAAAAAGTCCCACAATCATAACCTGCTCTGTCACCTGCAGTGTATTTGGGAAAATATTTTGGGATTCCAAAAGTTGGCTTGGCAGCAGGGGGGTAAAAATGACTGAGGCTTGCTGTGAGAGAGAAGGGGAAAATAAAGGAGTAGACGGGGTGGAATGTTCAGTGAGGCAATGGAAGAATGAGCCAGAAGTGAGTAATTAAACATAAATTTATATAACGCTACAGCATGCCCAGGGCAATGTGGTTAGTTATATACAAGTATGTTTGGATTTTCTATCACAGAGATCAAGTACAACTATGATATTTTCTGTGGGTGTGATCTCTTGATGTTTGCCTTTTCCCATTGATTTACAAGCAAGTGGGATTTGATACTGTGGGGACAAACATATGAGGAGTGAGCTTAATATGATTTTGATACATGTAGTGTACTCTGCCAGCATGGCTCTCTGTAGGGATTTCAGTGCTGGACTGAACTCTTGGGTGATGGAACCGGTTCCTGCCCTACTTGCATACACTTATTAAGTTCCACCTTAAAATGAGTTACTGTTGCTCATATTGTTCACAAGTGAAGGCTGTTCCAGAAATTGGCTCCTCTGATGGCTAAGAAACCTAATTCCCTACGTTTATTCAGTAGTTTGAGTGTCAGTTACCTCGAATGAAAAAGATACATTTTAAGGGTTGTTATTATTATGAAACCGAAAGTTTGTAAGGAGTTTGTCACAAATTGCAAGTTTCATTGAGGAAAGGACCTTGGGAGATCACCTCCAGTCCCAGGGCAGATCCAATGCTGTCCAGTGGTTTGTGGCATTCATTCTGTAACTGTTTTAAAGTTGTGGGAAGGTTCTGCTGCCTCCTCTCTGACCGAGTCCGGTGCTCTGCTCCCCCCCTGCTACACAGCTTCTGTGAGAGCCACTGCTGTAGGGAACACTCACTCTCTCCACCTTCGCAGCATCCTCTTACATCTCTGAAGCAATCTCTAAACTTGTCATGTCTCCCCACTTCCCTTTCTACCTTCCCTTTGAGCTCTGTTACCACCACTCGTGATTCCAGGCTGGCAGTCAGCAGGGAGCTTGGAGTGGGATGATGAGCAACAGCAATTTTGACGTGTCCCTGTCTGATAGGTTTACTGCTTTAATCTTTCCCAACTTTTCTTATCATGCCCACGTAATGTGTTGCACACAGAATAAAAAAATTGGCCCATACACAAGGACATGCCAGGGTTTTAGAGATCCCTGCTGATATTGTTTTCCTTGACACCATAAACGAAACCAGCGTTCAAGTTGGGTTATTGTAGAAACTGCCTCTTGGCTTTGGCTGTTATGGATGAGATGGTTTCTGGGAACGCCTGGCTTTGTATGGGCAGATTACTCTCTTTGTACATGCACTTCGTTTATAATAATCAGGATAAGATTGAAACAGGTTTCTGTGCCCTGCTTGGGTGAATGTTGATTGTTCCCGAGGGCTTGCAGTGGTGTCAAATGAAATATATTTTTATTTTTCCGGAAGGCTGTTTAAAATGAAGATTGTGATAAAGTTTAACAATATCACCTAAATTCATAATTTATTCCCCACCCACCCCCAAAATTATCTCCCTCCTTGTGTTTCCTCATTTCACTGGGGTGAATGAATACTGGGAATGAAGTAGCTGTGCCTTCACTGACAGAAATACCACCTGTGGCAGACCTGCTCTTCATTGGCTTCAGAGGAGTAACCAGGCTGGTAATTGGGCCTCCAGGGCAGCTGTCAAAATGGAGTTAAAACCAGGTTTTGTAAACAGAGTTAAAACATCCCTATTATTTGGCTGAGAACTAGGGGTGTAATAGGACCGCTCGCATCCTTTGGAGTGGAGTGGCAGATTCCAGGGTTTGTTGCCTGTTTGCCTGTGGTCTCGTGAAAAATACGGAGAAAATGAGGTTTGTTTTCTTTGTTGCTGATATTGCTTTCCTGACAGTGCAGTTCAAAAGCAAA